AGCGAGTGCAAGCGTGGTTTGCAAGTTGATATTTCATAATCTTGTATCAAAGCCTTGTTGCATCGAAGATCGCTAGCGCCTCCAGCAGAAGATGCCAGAGGAGGTGTTCTTGTCGCGGATACTATCAAATGCCAATCGAGATCGCCGAGCCTCCCATACAGCTCGATCGGTGCTGCGTGGCGGTAGTAGCTTGCATCAGCGATGGATCCACAAGCAGCATCGCTCTGGGCGGGACTGGAAGAATCCAAGGAGCCCACTATGCGCTTGAGCCTTGCGTGTCCGGGCATGAGTGCGGCGGATCTGGTCGTGATGCAATGGCAATGTTCCTCACCAGCGGGGATCTCGATAGATTGGCGTATGATCACAAAGAGGTTCCTGCATGCTACGATATTCAAAGCTTTCCTCTCAAAGCTGATCATTTCCACGATTCAGTATAGTGCACACGCAGTCATGATCGCTCCAATCCAGTAACCCGGACATAGCTTCAAAACACGAACACAAACACGAACACGGCATTCAATTTTTTGAACACGAACACGGAATACGGAAATGAACACAGATAAACACGGGTGAAAACACGAATATTCTCTAGAATATTCTACTTATAGCTCCATCTCATCTAGAAGCTCCTCATTAGCAGGATCATCATTTTTGTCTTTGTCCTCTTCTTCCATAGCTTCAATATCAGCATCAGTAATTTGAGGAATACTTCCTGTCTAGCTCAATCCCACAAACTTGTCATAGGAAGTGTGGCTCCCTATCAACTTGGTATTACTGGCCACAAATACTAAGTCTGCAATCCGGCTCACTGCTAAGCAATTCCTCTTCTTTGAAGTGATGTGCCCAAAAATGCTGAACAATCGCTCCACAGATGAAGAAGAACTTGCCTGACTAAACACTCGAATTGCCAACCTCTGCAAATCTGGACCTGAGTAGCCATTGTCCTCCCACCACTGCACAAAACTTTGTTGTACGATCCATCTGAAAGTCCCCGGTGCCAAAACTACCCTCCAAGTTCCTGTATTGGCAAAGCTGATTTTTCATAATCAACCTTTGCTGATAGTCAAGGAATTTTTTGCAGTGAAATCAGGCGTGGCTAAGCGCCATTCCTCCCACTCCAGCGCTAGAATCCTAGAGAGGGCATTCCCAGCCCAAGAAAATTGCCATAGATCGCTGGAAAAACCTTTTGATTGATCGCAAGAATTTTTGATTGATCGCAAGAATTTTTTATTGATCGCAAGACAAGAAAACATCAAAGCGCAGAACCACATGAGCTATTGTTTTAGAACACGGCGTGGTCACACAATATTTGACCATGTTTCAACCGTGTTTGGAGCCGTGTTTTGGAGCATTGACCGAGTCAATGAACACAGCCCGTGTTAACACGGCTGGGGGCCGTGTTCGTGTCACCACGCCAACACGCTGTGGTGCACGGCGTGTTTTGAAGCACTGAACCCGGACAACATGCCATCAATGACACCACAATGCTTGGCATTGTAATACATGGGGCAACCGTAATAACCATCCTGAACATCGCTCAAAGGCTGGCCATGGAAACCAATCTTTCCGGCGATGATGTCCTTCACTGCACTCTTGCAGCGGATGATCTTGCTAATACAATGCCGACGCCACTCCCCCGCATGATGTACACGATAACCACGGGGGGACGCAAACACAGGCTTGAAGATGCAGCATTCCCGTAGCCTCTCGTAGGTTTCTTGCGTCTAGAAAGAGGGAAACAAGTTACCTTGGTTTGTGGATTCAAAATCCGAGCTTCGCTCAAAGAACGTGAATTTCAGGAGGTAACTATCCTTGTTGTCGGGGGGAACAAAGCGCCATCCGGCCATCCTCTACAGGGATGGTGTAGAGGAAATCAGACCTGCCGCCTGCATCCGTTGGAGAGATGGATTTTCTTCTTACTACCTCTGGAACTTTTTGAGAAAGTTCTCAAACAAGGAACAGCTTTGCTTGGATTTCCTCCTTCCAATTTCTTTTGAAGCTAACTTATTGCTCTTGCGATTTCAACTTCTTTTTCGTTCTGGGAACTGTTTGTTGCTTCTTTTTTTCTCACATATGCCAGGAGCACTTGCGAGGGGTCACGTACTACCGAGGAGCCCGATCTTGGTGGTGAACAGCACGGACCACGCGAAAATCTCCGTGATCAAAGACGAGGTGGTCCTCGTCTTCGTCAACAAGCAGGATGCCATGGCTCCCACGGAGATCACCGACGCTCTCACCATCAAGAACCACGACTGGCACATCCTGCGAGGGACTGTTCGATGGCCTCGGCTGGGTGGCGCAGCACGTCACTGGAAACAAAGCTACTGCTCCACCTGCGAGTTGAAAGAACCAAAGAAGCGAACTCGCGTGCCAAGAGTTTCTGTGACCATTCTTATACTTGTTGGAACTGTCTAATCGAAAACATTGCATCACCAAGGATCACAAGAAAAAGAAATAAGTAGTCTGGATTCTCGGAAAGATGAAAGGTAGGATTGGATGGAGAGAAAGAGCATGACACACATTCAAGAGGGCTCTGCTCACAATCCTGGTGGCTTTGATGTAGCGATACACTGCCAAATTTAATAGAATAAGTAATTTTCTAGATAAAGATAAATAAATTTCAAAAAATATATTGTTTTAATAACTATAAACTTTTTTTTCAAAATTTATATATTTAGGAAATTTAGAATAAACTTCAAGCATATAAAATATTTTAGGAAAATATACATTTAGTAAATATATAATATAAATTTTAGTTCTTTAAACATTTTTAAATGTTATATCACTATCTATTATAAAAGCCCATTTTTATAGGAGGGGTATTTAGGAAAAAAAATTATAAAACAAAACTTAAAAATTTAATAATATCTTATTTAATAAAAATATAGTAGAATAAATTTCGTGATTTGTAGATTGCAAGTGTATTGATCACATACAATCTCTTCTCAATTTTTTCCATAAACAAAGTGGTGTATATCCCAATATTAGATCACAATAATCATTTAATAAATTTAATTTTATATAGACGTTATCAGTTTTAAATTTCTTTTCAAATTTCAAAAATTATGTAGGTATTAACCCAAACTTAATATTGAGAGCTATTTTACTCTAAAACACCGCCCCCAAACCAAGTTACTTCAAGTGGCTGATGAATAAAATGTATCATAACAGATCGAAATTGCTTATCGTAAAGTGAAGCCAAAACAATAAACAATTCATAAATTGTTAACAAAATTTAATGTAAGATGTGTGGGAATACTTTTGAGGGTAAGTAAGATTTAGATCTGAATATGCTTTTTATTGATAACATATGTAAAAAAAGTATTTAAAAGGAAAGTAAATTATTTCCTTATTTTAAAGTTTTAAATATTGTTGTTTTTTAATTTTTATATCATAGAAATCTAATATACAATTGAATAAAATAGTTGCAAATTCTAACATTTGCATTATATATGGAAGGAGCTACATATAAAAAATTATAAAAATTATTTATTTTTATATTAATCATGTAATATATATTTTATTTAAGTTTTTATTTCATCTACCTTTAGAATTATATATGGTTTTTATTTAAAATTTTAGTAAGTGGATTACTTTCACAGTTAAACGTTAGATAAACCATATATAGTATAAAAATTTATAATATACAGAGTTAGGCCATTTAAGTTATTTGGAAATACAAGCTCTTTTTAGGTAATTTATCAAGTTTGTTCATGTAAAAACCCTAGTATTTATCATAGGGAAAATAAACACCTGAAAAGCATAAAATAATTATATTTTTTACTTGAAATAAATTACCTCTTCTTCTTGAATCACACAATTATTTTAAGTTTTATAATAGAGGAAAACACCCATGTTGTCTTCCTTTAACTAAGAGCCAAAGACTTCTAAACAGCTTAAACCATATTTTATAAAATTACCTTTTATAATAAAAGAATGTTTATTTTTGTTCTTTTTCTTTTTTTACATTGCTTCAATCATCATCATGAACCTTTGTTGCTGCTGTTAAAATTAACTAAATCCTAAAAACACTTATTAAAGCAAAAGTGAAAAACTAAATTACCTCCATATGAAAAGCAAAGTGCTTGAATTGACAAGACATTATCTTCAAGTAATTTAATGGTGGATAATCACCAAAGTGAGTGTCTTTTTTCATAGAGCTGAAAGTTGGCATGAGGAGGGCTTTTAAATAACCCAAAACAAAATAATAAGCTTTTACTTCTTCTTTTTCACATCATTGCCTCTTCTTTTTTGCTTGGATTGTCATCACAAATCATTATAGCTTTGATTATCACTATTATAAATCACTATCACCTTCCCACCATCATAGATCACAATCACCTCCATCTTCTCTTCCTCCATCCTCATTAGAATCAAAGACAACCTACCATCACCAATCACTATTGTGCCTCTTCTTTGCCATTAGGATTAGAGGTGGTTGTGCCCTCATAAGAAGCAAAAATATATATGTTAAATAAAAGTTAAGTGAGTTAATCAAAAGGCCAAAGAATCAAGCAATCCTCAACCCACTAACTCATAAGTTACTGGAGTGTTTAGAAATCCAGCCAATAGTGACAAAACCCACTACAATTTCTAAACATAATTTTTATATATTTGACACAATGTGTAGCACAAAACAATAGGAAGTTAAAAAGATTGCTATAAGATTAAGAAAGATATCAAGCTAATATATGATTTTTTTTCTTAAACTAGTCAGAGAACAGGATTATCCAGCTTGGTGTGTGTGATGGAGAGAACTAAACCTTGACGAGTCAATAAAAATCTTTCTACTCCTTATATACTGATCTCATGGGATGGCAAGTGCATCAACACCTCCTCCTTGATTATCTTCTCTAACTCCATTGCTTCTGTCTAAAAAAGAATATATGCTTATGGTACGAAAAGCCCAAAATAGATCTCTACTTTTTTTAAATGGGAATTCTGTCGTGGCATTGTGACGTGGCGGATTTGCCTACGTGGCATGCCGCATTCTTTTGTTTTAGGGCTTTTGGCCCAAAAACCCTAGGGCCTGTAAGCGATGGATTTTTCTTCGCCCTCTTCCTCCTCGAATGACGCGATGATGGATCAGCTCAAGAACCAGCTCGCGCAGGCCTACGCGCAGGAGTTCTTCGGGGTACGCTCTCTCCCTCTCTCCTGCTCCTCCCCGTTTGATAGATTTTTGTGTCTAAATCTCTAGACCGTGCGCGAGAAATGCTTTGCGAAATGTGTCACCAAGCCCAGCAGCAGCCTGAGTGGATCCGAGAGCAGCTGCATTTCAAAGTGCGTGGATCGCTACATCGAAGCCACCGGGATTGTGAGCAGGGCCCTCTTTAACGCCACCAAGTGAGTGAGTGAGTCTTATACTCGCTCTTGTTCTCTCTCTCTCAATCCATTTTTCCTTTCATCTCTTCGAGAATCCAGACTCTCCCTTTTCTACTTCGCGATGCAATGGTTTCGAGACGAGCTCTTTAGACGTTTCCAACAAGTATAAGAATGATCACACAAACTCTTGGTACGCGAGTGTTCTAAAAATCTCTTTTGGTTCTTTCAACTCGCTGGTGGAGCAGCGGTGGTAGCGGTCTTGTTTCCAGTGACATGCTGCGCTACCCAGCCGAGGCCATCGAACAATCCCTCGCCTGTCAAGGCACAGCAGGCCTGGATGTGCCAGTCGTGGTTCTTGATGGTGTGCAGGGAGAGAGCGTCGGTGATCTCCGCGGGAGCCATGGCGTCCTTGAGGTCCTGCTTGTTGGCGAAGACGAGCACCACCGCCTGCTGCAAGTCCTCGTGCTGGAGCAGCCGGAAGAGCTCGTCTTTGATCACGGCGATTCTCGCGCGGTCCGTGCTGTCCACCACCAAGATCACTGCGTGGGCTCCTCGGTAGTACGTGACCCACGACGCTCGCAAGCGCTCCTGGCCTCCCAAGTCCCACACCTGTGAGAAAAGCAAAGAAAAGTTTCGATCAATCCATCAGAACGAAAGAAAAGTTGGAAACCGCAAGAACAGAAGTTAGTGGAACGAAGATCGTATCAAAAGAAACAGGAAATCCAAGCAAAGCTGATTCCTTGATTCGAGAAAACTTCCTAGGAAGAAAGGAGTGCACACAAAACTTCCAGAGAAAATCCATCTCCAAGTTTAGATCGATCCATTAGAATGAAAGAAGGAAAGAAACCGCAGGAACAAAAGTTAGCCAAGCAAAGCTAGATCGTATCAAAAGAAATCGAAAAGAGGAAATCCAAGCAAAGATGATTCCTTGTTTTGCGAAAACTTTCTAGAAAGAAAACACCAGAGAAGCAAGAAGAAAATCCATCTCCAAGCATGCAAAGATCAGAGAGTGATGGAAGCCAATCGAAACGAAGAGAAAAAGAGGAGAATTCAGGAGAGTGATGGAAGTCAATCCAAACGAAGAAAAAAAGAGAAGAGAATTCTACACAAAGTACCTCGAATCGGATGTTCTTGTAGACAATCTCCTCGACATTGCTGCCGACGGTGGGCTGCGTCACTACCACTTCGCCGAGATGGAGCTTGTAGAGCGTCGTCGTCTTGCCCGCGTTGTCCAACCCCACCACCACGATCTTATACTCCTTGGCCGGGAACACCATAAACCACACTCTAGAGATCAAAGCGCCCATGGCCGCGCTCTATCCCTTCCCTTAGGTCAAATCGATCGAGTCGATCACACCGCGCAGATCCAAGCGCCTTAGCCTCTGCTGCTGCCGCTGCTCCTACAAATCGAGATCAATCGATCCTCGCAGTGAAAAATCCGGCCCAGAAAAGAACTCTCCACTAGAGAGTATTTAGGGCGGCTATAATGCGTATGAGTGTTCTCAAATTTTAGGGTTCTTGGAGGGCATCCATGGCGACGGAGGAAGCGACCACGGCGACGAACTGTAAGTGTGATTTCTCGCTGGATTCTCGGTTCTATCGCTGCGCTACTCGATTTCCAGGCACATTCTTCAAGAAGCCTCCCAAGAACAGGAATCTGAGGAAGCGGCCACAGGAGGAAGAGGCGGCAGGCGATGGCGCGGGCAGCGGCAGCGACGAGGAGAAATCCGCGGTTGTCCACAAGCCAAAGGCGCCGCGCAAGGGCGGATTCACGACCGGAGTAGCGCAGCGATCGGGCGCCGACGAGGCAGCGGCGGCTGGGGCGGGCAGCACGAGCAAGAACACATTCTTCTACGAGTCCTCCAAGGAGATCCAGGCCCAGGACAGCTACGCGACCGCGGCGCTCGAGACCGAGACCGAGTTCGACAAGGACGCGCGGGCGCTGCGCGAGAAGGTGCTCCAGGCGGCGGCCAAGCGGATCAAATCCTCCAGCGATCCCTTCGACGCCACCACCAACAAGGAGAAAGGCGAGGACAAAGGAGAGAAGAAGCCAGCGATCTACAAGGGACTCAACGCTTACACCGATCACCGCGCTGGGTTTCGGCGAGAGAACAGCATCGCCTCCGAGAAAGCTGGAGGGGCTCACGGGCCTCTCCGCGCGGCCTCCAACGTGAGAATGTCGGTGAGGTTCGACTACCAGCCGGACGTTTGCAAGGATTACAAGGAGACTGGCTACTGCGGCTATGGCGATTCCTGCAAGTACTTGCACGACCGGGGGGACTATAAGTCGGGGTGGCAGCTCGAGCGGGACTGGGAGGAGGCACAGCGGGAAAAGAAGGAGAGGTTGATGAGGGGGATCAAGGAGATGGTGGAAGGCAAGGAGGAGGATGAGGAGGAGGACGACGAGCTGCCTTTCGCGTGCTTCATCTGCCGCGAGTCGTTTGTGAATCCGGTGGTGACGGCTTGCAAGCACTACTTCTGTGAAAGCTGTGCTCTCGAGGTGCGTTTTTGTTTTGTTCTTCCTTCTTCCTTTTGTCCGAGATCTCTGTTCTCTTTTCTTCCAAGTTTTAGATCTCTTTCTCTTCGAGCTGGTACCTTCGTTATATCTTGTTCTCTTTTTCCGCGTTTTAGATCGAGAAGTCTCTTTCTCTTCGAGCTGGTTGATTCTTAATCACCTTCTTGGTTTGAACCTTTTCCTCTCTTCTTCCAAGTTTTAGATCGAAAAGTCCTGCTTTCTCTTCGAGCTGGTTGATTCAAAGTGCCAGTTTTAAAGTTTTTTTTTCTCTTTCGAGCTAAAAGTTTTCCTTTTTTGCAGCACTACAAGAAGAACAAATCGTGTTTTGTGTGCAACAAGCCCACGAACGGGCTCTTCAACACAGCACACATCATTTTGAAGAAGCTAAGGAAGCCATAGCTGTGGTAAAGTCTTCCTTTTTCTTTGCGATAAATCTCTGTTTCTTCTTAGGGCTCTCTTCACTCCAACTAGTAGGGTTTATGGAGGAGGCGTCGATCGTGTACCGCTGCAGGAAGTGCCGCCAAATTGTAGCCACCGACTCGAGCGTCCAGCGCCATGATCCAGGCTCCGGCGAGCAGGCCTTCTTCTCGTGGAAGAAGCGATCCAACAACGACGATGCCAAACCGCGCGAGTGCTCGTCGATCTTTGTGGAGCCAATGCAATGGATGAATGGAGGTTAGCTCATCTCCTCAAACCATGCAATCTTATAGTTTGTCTACTTTGTTTAGTTCAAGATGGCAGTGTGGAAGGGAAGCTCTTGTGTAACGTCTGCCAGGCGAGGCTGGGGAGCTTTAACTGGTCGGGGCTACAGTGTAGCTGTGGAGCTTGGGTGAATCCAGCGTTCCAGCTCCACAAGAATCGTTTGGATGCTACTACACTCGTGGTAAGCGATAGAGAGAAATAAAAAAAGAACAAGGGGGGAGCTTACTTTTCTCTGAGAAGTTATCATTGGAGAAGCAAATCTTCTTCTCCGCCGGGCACCAATGAAGCCCAGCACTGTCGATATAATCCATTTTCAAATAGATAAGGGAAAGCCTGTCTCTCCCCTTTTATCAAGCGTATAGAACGTCCTCCCATGGATGCCGGTACAATGGCTGTTTCAATCTCTTTTGGTCGAATGTGTGCCTGTAAAGAATGTCAAAGTTTGAGAGCTTGGAACAACTTCTAACAGTTGGAAGGAAGCTTACCCGATGAGACCGATGCTCCTGGCGAGAACAAAGAGGCCGTTCAAGTAGCCAATCTCCACAATGTCATCGATCTCTTGCTGGTTAAACATGGCGCAGCTGACTAGCAAGTCGAGGAAGAGCGAGCCAATGGCACCGTCCACATTGAGCACCAGGTTGTTGGCTTTGGTCAGTGTGTACGTCTCTACTTGCACGGCATACTCCATGTATTTCACTGAGGGGAAGTGGAGACGAGCATACTTCTGGAGGAACTCGACTCTCTTGTCCCGGTTGTCACGGCTCTTTATCCTGAGAGACACGATAGTATGCGTAAGAACTCCAAATGACCCTATAGTTACCTGTGACCAATCCCTGGAACACGAATTCCTTTCTTTTTCATCGTCTCCACGAACTCGTGTGGCTTTAGTTGCTGCATGGGAAAGTAAAAAGGAAGGATCAAATTATTCCTTTGCGGGAGAATAGTGTGGCAGCTTACTCTATCGTACGCATCTTTGAAGTAGCGTGCTGCATCGTCAATCGCACCTCCAAATCTTGGTCCGATAGTAAGGAGACCTGCGACCGACAATTACTTCATGCAAGAAATATAGGGCCTTTACCGGATACAAGGCAAGAAACCAAGTCTTTCCCAGCTCGAGAAGTGACTATGGAGTTGTGTGCTCCAGAAACACATGGGCCGTGATCTGCGCACAGGATAATGCACATCTGCGTCGAGGAAACTTGGAGAACCACAAAATTTACTGAAAATGAATGCTTACCTCAATAAACTTGGTGGCATAGCGAGGAAGATTCTTTTTAAACCATAGCAAAGATATGACGTCTCCAACGCCAAACTCCTTTTCAATAATGTTGGAAATAGGGACGCCAGCATATGTCGGTTCTTCACCTGCAGCAAAAGTAAACAGAATTACCGCCATATGGTTTGGAGAGTATAGCTTTGAAACCTCTATCATCACAAATGGTAGAAACAATGTGAGTGGGAGCACGAACTTTGCCGTTCTTCACAGCAATGTTAAGGTCTTCGGGAACAATGGGAGGAGTAACGTCGGCCACAGGAATAATTACACCACTTGCAACCTGCATTTCTCCATAAGAATGCAAAACTTGAATGTTTTTTGAGCACTTACCAGCTTCTCAAAAGTGTCTTTAATGACGGCTTCCAAAGACTCGAAAGATGTTGGCACAATAGCACCAGCTTCCTTCAGAGCTTTGTTTTTTCCCTGTGCCGACTCCAAGTCTCCTCCACTTTTGGCACCCTGACAAAACGAACGAGCGTCTAAGACTTTGGCTTAATCATCATAAGATCCGCACTCACAGCATGACCAAACTGGACTTCAGACTTGAAGAGCTTCGCACAAGTTCCACTGACCCACGCGACAACAGGCTTGTGAACTCTTCCTTGTTGAAGAGCCTCGACTAAAGAATACTCATCCGTTCCTCCAAGTTCTCCCAAAACCACAATCAATTTTATCTACAGGCAAAACAGTATAAACACGTCAAAACACACACAAACAAGAGATTTACTTGAGGTATGTTGTTAAATCGAAGGACGTGATCTGACAACGTAGATCCCGGAAAGACATCGCCTCCGATTGCAATTCCTAACGAGATAAATAAATCCAAGGTTCAGATCAATCAAGGACAACGCAAAAGACAAACCTTCGTAGAGCCCGTCAGTTGCACGAGCAAGAACGTTGTACATCTCGTTGGACATGCCTCCCTGAAAGGGCCCCAGGCGTATCGTCAGTGAATAAAAACCAAGAACACTTACAGATTTGGAGACAAATCCCACGGACCCAGGGCGATAAAGCTTACAACTCACGATGTTATCGAGAGTACCAGCAGTATCTCCAATCTTGAAGGCACCAGCCTGCATACCACCTACAGTAGCAGGCCCAATGACTACCTATGAACAAGTGAAGAACAAATCTCGTAAGTTTATTCCAAGTCTCAGAGTACCTTGTTATTTGCTCTGGCATACGCTATCAGCTTTTTGGCATCGCCTTCCGGGACTCCCTCGGCAATAATAGCGACGACTCGTATCGTTGGTTGCTTGAGAGCTTCCATTGACGAAGCAAAGGCACTGTAAAACACGTAAGACAAAGGTCAACCAATTAGCTTACATGGAATTCTCCTCGCGACGTCACAAACACGAAGGTCTTACCTCCTAAACGACGCGAAGTTAATAAATACGTCTGCTGTGGGATGTGCCTTACATCCAGCGACGACACTGTTGGATAGAAAGAGCCATTTAATAGATCGTCGCTACCAACTAGACCAGAGATCTCGAAACAAGCAAGAGATTTCGAGATATCGGGAAGGATATTCCACTCACCTCCCATAAACCGGCACGGCAATCTCTTCCTGCCCGAAGAAGAGCTTCTGGAATCCATCAGATCCGGGATTGACAATGCCGGCCACCGATGGGAGCTCCCGCGCTGCAATGCCGGCCATCCGGCGTTAGAATCTCCACAAAACGAGCCTCCCCTACCGCACAGGAAGTCGAAATCCAGCATCCGCTGGATGGGGCTTTGCTTGAAATTGTAGAAGAGCGCCTGCGTAGATCGCGAGAAGAGCTGCCCCGTCGCCATCGCGGCTCCTATCAATCGACCTCGAGCGCTGCTCGGATCGCGCTCGCGCAGCGCTCTTCTCGCCAAAATAAAATAAAATAAACTAAACCTAAATTTCTCCCACTATGCTATTCCCAACTACCTGGCCTTTCTCTCTAGAATGGTAGGAATATCATCCAGATTTGATGAGACCAAAAAATAAAAACAAAGGGGGCGCATCAAGAAAGATTCGCTTTTTTTATTCCCTTGTTATCCATTGAAGAAGACGATGCCAATATACAACGCACGAATGCGTGCTTTTAGTAGTAGACATAGTGGTGGTGTTGACGACGAAGAACAAAGAACTCTGGAAAACACGAAAGAAAACGCAAAGAAGAAACAAACCATGGAAGAACGAAGAAATGCGTGTTAGAACTTTGGTGTCTACCTCCAGCTCGATCCACCCAGACGAATCACGTCCTCGCCGCTCGAGTCTTTCACTCGCGCTGCTTGGTTCTCTTCGAGCTTCTTGCCGCTAGCATCGCCATACACGTCCCGGAGCTTGAGTAAGTTCGCCGATATCGCAGCGTTTGCGGCACTGCCATTCTTGTCACTGTCTTTCATTCCGGGGCTCGAGCTCCTCCTCCTCGGACTCCTTCTCGGGCTCCGGCTCCGGCTTCTACTCCGCCTCTCCCTTCTCCAATCTCTATCCCTCTCCCTGGAAGAGTGTCGGTCTCTATCCCGGTTCTCCCTCTCCCTAGAAGAGTGCCGGTCTTTATCCCTCTCCTCTCTGTCCCGCCGGTCCCTCCTGTCCCGTCCTCTATCCCTGTAGTCCGAGTCCCTGCTTCTCGGCCTCTCCCTCTCCACTTCACGGTCTCGGCCTCGGTCTCTCTCTTCGCGAGTCCTGTCCTGGCCTCTGCTGCTACGATCGTCAGTGTTGTTGTTGTTGTTGTTGTTGTTGTTGTTGCCATTTGATGGAGGGAGGCTTCTTCGGACAGGAGACGAGTCTCTAGTCGAAGCTCGGTGAGGTGCTCGCTGGCCGAAGGAGACTGAAAGTGCGGCTTTCACTGAGGGTGGCCGGCGGGCGGTCTCCTCCGACGAGTGCCGGCCGGTTGTTCCTTGGGGAGTCGTGGGGAGCTTTAGCCGCTCCAGGTGGCTGGCGATCTGTCTCGCCACTGGAACTGGTATCCTTGGAAAGATGGTGTCGAAATAATGCTGAAAGTGCGAACATAGTCAGTACCTCCCAATGAAACGCAGCAGCTAAGTTAAAAGAAAGAGAAAAACGAAAAGAAGAAAGAAGGAAAAAAAAAAAAAGATATCAAACAGCTTAGCCGTATTGGCTACACAACGTAGGACACGATTTCTTACTTCCTATGCATTGCACCACTGGTGCAACGGCTTCATAGGTGGTAGCGGCCTTCATCTCTGCAGGTTCCCTCCAGCATCAAAAAAGCATAACAGATTTTACTGCGACATCTTACCACTTGAATGCATGATAATGAGTAGGCACCCATGTACATCCTAGAGACGAGGAGAAAAAATAGACTCACCTGATGCAAGAGAAGATCGCGAGTGAACACTCCCATCTTTGTCACCCGCCCATTTGTGCCGGGAGAGAATTCCTGCAGAAAAACAAAGTCAAGCTTCACAAAAAGAAAAAGAGGAGATTTCTGCAAAACTCACCTCATCATCTTCAATGTAAGGCTCGAACCATTGCCAGAGAGTTCTCGGTTCGCCACAATGAGAAAAGCTCCAAAGAAAAGAAGCAATCGTACCGCACGAACGTAAGGAGAATCAGCGTGGTTGAGAAGCCCCTGGATCTGCTCGTCAGTGAGCTTCATGGTGAATAACTTGAAAAGGAGGCAAAACGCTGGAGAAGGGCCGCGAAAATTCCCTTCCAGATGATCGACACGGTTGGAAATCTCATCCACGACCTCGTCTTGAGGTGGTCGAGCTCCCTGAAGTAATCTGACACCAAAACGTTAACAAGGAGGACGTGCTCAAACTCGCTCATACGCAATCAAACGATTAGGGCTCCTGGGAAAAAAAGTCCAGATTGCGTATACTTGGAAAGAGAGACGTCATTTTAAAGGCACATCTCCGTTAGAAGCATATTCTGTTACTTTGGAAAAACTGCTTGTTTCACTTTGGGCCGCTAGTTTTTGACGGGCCGGCTCTTTCTACCATCACGTCGTAGAGCCGCTTACCATCCTACAAGAAGAACAGAAAGAGAAGAAATGATTTTTCACACACACAAACGAGAAAAAGAAGTACTTACAAAGATCACTGGAAAAAAGTGAACTTGGCCCTCCGGCTTGGTTTGTGTCTCCTTGAAGTAGACGAGGACTGGAAAGCTCGGCCACCATAGCTCCCAGTTTGTAAAGGTTGAGTACCTAGACAAAGAAGAACACAGTGAAGAGACCGTGACTTTCCTCCTCTAGATGCTTACTTCCACCGGTTTTTTCCGCCGACGAAGACGTTCTCTCCGGATTCCTGTAGCTCCGAGCCGATCTTTACTTCCTGGAGAAGCTCAAGTAATGTTAAATCCAGCTCCAGCGACACAAAGAGAAAGCAACACAGAAGCTTACCAGAGCTTCGTCATCGAACACGAATTTCACTCGGGTAGTCTGTTTCAGCATAGAACCAGGAGTTAACTCTCATTCCTGTGAAGAGGACACGGACCTGGAATAAGAGAAGAAGGCCGAGCAAACCAATTGGAGCTGCTGGAAGCAAATTGTCCGTGTAAACTAGAGCACCAGCAGCACCTGTAAGGAAGAACACCGTTTGTTTCTCTCTTTTTTCCACAAAGAAATCCTTTCTACTTACCAAGAAGAACGACTGGAATGCGATAATCAGGTGCTGGAATGACGGTCTCCCTCACGATCTTGGCTGCTTGTTTCCTTTTAAACTACACGAGACTATCGCCTTCGTCAGGACTATAGCTCTCGAGAAACCAGAGAAATTTAAGTACCAATGCTTTCACAGCCCCAGGTCTTGATAGCCTCCTCGGCGAAAAGATCAAAGAGGAACTTGGAGCTCTTGGCTGCAATCCAATCGACCCAGCGCCTACATTTATCATATGTTAAACTCTAGCTAGAGCACGAGATTCTACGTACCAAGAGCTGGACGAAGAACGCAGGAGCATCCCGCCATAGCCATCGCCAAGAAGCCCTAAACCTCGAGAAAAATATATTCGTTGTCTGTTTAAGAATATTCCTGTGTGATTACTATTTCTCACTACTTTTTAACCACCTTTAAGGATTCTAGAATGTCTAATTGAGAAGCAATCATTGAAAAGTTTAAAGCTGCAAGGTGGCGGCATGGGTTTTGTAAGCAAACGCGCAAAAACAAAGACCATGGGCATATCCGAGCTTGGTGCGAGCTGACGTCACCGTGTCCACCACTGCGTCATACATGTTGCTGTAGGTAGTGGACGCGTCCGTGACGCTCGCTCGGAGCCGACGCGCGCGTATATTCCAGCGGTACGTTGGTCGGGTGGCTGAAGAAAGGATAGACGTTGATCATAAATGGGCTGCCTGACGTGGACAGGAAATCCACCACTGGTTTGAGGCGATGGTTGGAGACCACGGTGCCGGCGGTACGCAGCGCGGTGTACGACTGTACGGCAGACGGATGTCCCGGAAGGATGACGCGTCCATGACGTTGAAGGCGTGCGGCGTGGAGACCACGGTGCCGGCGGTACGCAGCGCGGTGTGCGACTGTACCGCGGACTGGACGTTCTGGAGGGCCTGGAGGAGGAAGGGGACGTACCGCGCGTTGTTTGTGAGGACCTCGTTGCCGATGGAGATGGCGGGAAAGCGGGTGGCGGGGATGAAAGGGCGATGGAGGCGTCCAGCCAGGCCTTGGCGGCGGCGGGGCTCGAGGCGGTTTGCTGGAGCTGCTCGTTGGGGATGGAGACACTGAGATCGATGCCCGAGTTTGCGAAAGCCGGGATCAGCGTCGAAGATGCGCGCCTTGGTGATGTTGTTGGATTTGAGCAGCGCCACGACTTGCGCCGGCGATGGGAGACTGTCGCCCAATCTGCCATAGTTCACGCCGATGCTCGATCCCCTTTAGAGGAATAAAATCGAAATCGAAATCCAAACGCTTTGATTCAACCAGATTTAAAATGTGACCGTTTTGTGTCTGGAAATGAAAATGCGAGAGCTGGAAGACGAGGGATCGTGGGGAATCTTGCCAAGAGGATCTATAAACTCACCAGGAATCCCCTCCAGCGCAGCCAAAACCGCGACGAGCAGCACCACTATCACCAGCAGCCGATTGAATCTCACTCCCGCTTCCATGGAATCAATCAATCAATCAAAGAGAAGGAATCGCCCAAAGCGTTTACGATTGATCATTGAGCGGAGAGAGAGAGAGAGAGAGGTGATGAACTAAAACGCTTGTTCACTACATCGGCTGAAAGTAAAAATTCTTCATTTGATCCAGTAAAAATTCTCCACCATGGAAGAACTCTTTCACAGGAAGGATCGTGATCATGGTGGTGGGATTTAGGGTTCCAAGGCTATTCAGCGGCCAGAATCTGAGTGACAAGCTCAACAGGACGCAGCAGAGCTTCGAGAGTGATAGGTTGATATGTGGGTTTTTGGATCTCACGCTCACGGCCTGCGAGTGGAGTTACTGAAAAAGATGACACCAAGAACGTATGTCGACGGCTTTTTGGAAATGCTCTAGTGACGATCACAGAGCGACAGCTGCGATAGGGATTTGTCGACATGGCGCTCTCGTAATACCCTAGGGGCGCGGTCTAGCAGATCACGATGAGCGCCGAGGTCCAGACGTGTGGCAAGCCCATACAGACTCTGGTCGAGCACGTCGTCAATGTTAACATTTTGTCGTCAGAATACTTCAAGGAGCTCTACCGCCTCAAGACGTTTCACGAGGTCGTGGACGAGATTTACAACCATGTCGCCCATGTGGTGCCCTGGATGACTGGAAATTCCCGCGGCCCTTCTCCAGCGTTTTGCCTCCTTTGCAAGTTTTTCACCATGAAGCTCACTGACGAGCAGGTCCAGGAGTTTCTCAACCACGCTGATTCTCCTTACGTTTGTGCGGTATGATCGCTGTACATTGCTTCCTTCGGAGCTCTTCTCATTCGTTGCTCCTGTTTTCCTGCGTTATTATGGTGATCCAAGTACTCTCTTCTGGCAATGGTTCAAGCCTTATATCGAAGATGATGAGGTGAGCTTTCGCTTTTTTGGGTTTAAATTCTACTATGGTTTAAGGAATTGTTATATAAACTAGATTAGATTAATGGTGTTTTAAAAGATAATTACCTATAATAAACATTTAAGTGAATTTCTTAGGACTAAATTTTACATAATTTGTGATTAGATGTATGTGAATCCCATAAAGCTATATTTGGATATTTTGCTTTATAAATAACTAAATTGCAGTCATTTTGAATAGTGAATAAGGTCGGTAATAAACAGAGTTTCTTATTACATGATATAGTTGTAATCATGAAATAATTCTTATTATAATACATTAACAAATTTCCATCGTTATTTAATTTAACATAACAGTTATAAATATTATCAATAGAAGTCTTAAATGTCCAAATGAGTTTATCTTCTGAGTATAAAATCAAAATACAGTTTTCTTTTAAAATTAAAATATTCTTTCTGTTTGCAGAAACTAAAAAGTTATCTGCATAAATAACTGAACCAGGATATAAAGTACTTATTCTAAGATAACAAATTAACACATTATCAAATGAGTTTAAAAGAAAAACATTTTCAGCATCTTTTAATTTATAATATATAACATATTTTTGGCTTTCTCCTTCAAAATAGTCTGAAAGATTTTCATAGAGTTTATTCTTATACTTATCTAAAATTGTTTCTATACCCGCTATAATATTTCCACCTAAAATTTTAGTAGGTGTATCTTCAATAGTGCATTGATCTTTTGTTTTAATTATTAATTCAACAAGCCCTTTTGATGTATCTATTTCCATTTCATCTCCAAAGGTTGAAGAATAATCACTTTTGCGATTGAGTTTGAATAATAATTCAGATACTCCTGCAATTATTTTAGTAATATCTTGTGTATTTAAGATTCTGACATTTCCAAATTTAGGTGTATATTTTTTTGGAGCAATCACATGTAAAATATAAAATGAAAACAATGAAAAATAGATGAAAATAAATATGAGCTTCATCATATTTATATATATGTATATATGTGTGTGCGTGTGTGTGTGTGTGTGTATATGCATACATTGATATGGGTTTATATTTATTATAACATCTAGTTTATAAATTTAATTAAATATTATTTCTCATAATTATCATCTTTTACTATTTCTATTGGCTATCTGCTCAAATATATACCTTAGTTTAGAAATAGTTATCCTTATTTGAGTTTATTTCCTTTGGGGACTTGTATGGTGACATACCATAATTCATTTACATTATTGCATGGTCTATAAATCCTTAAAACTTGTAGGAAACAGTGTAAATATTAATAATGAGAACTCTTTGGTTATTTTTTTCAGTAAGGTATATGATAAATGATATTTAAGCATATGGTGCCAATGAGTTTAATTATTATTGATTGTGCCTAATAAAATATTTTATATCTCTAATTAAAATGTATGTGTTTTCTTCTATGTAATGTATTTATACAACTCTCAAATTCATTTAATGAATTAAATACTTTCATGAACTAGTAGGAGAGCTAAAAGAATGAGATTTTCATGAATAGTTTGATGTTTAAGATTTAGATTCAAATTAATGCTTGAATAATAGCTAAACTTGGAATACATGTAAAATATTTGGAGTCTTTGATGATTTCTAGGGTTAAAATGTTGTGTTTGCTGTAAAATTGAACTATATGACATTTTTAGTTGAAGTCTTGCCATTTTGAAGTCATTTTTACTAATATTTTATGTTATATATATTTGTTTCCCAATTGTGAGTGCCGCTAAGAATTATTGATACTTAGAAGTTTGTTTGTTCTTTTGAGAATGTGAAATTTTCCTTTCATTTTCTCATCTTAAGTATTGAGTTAATGTCAAAAAACTTGAATGTGGGATTTTCTTGTTTTGGCCAAAGTATTTTATATTATAATGAACTCTATTATTCAACCTTGAAAAAAGTCTTTTATAATAGAAGATCTCATATTATCCAAGCTTTAAAAACACATTTTCTTCTTTTATTTCCCTGTTTTTACTTTAACTACTGCTAAAGTTTTTGTTTTTAGTGTTTTTTATTTATATTTTGTTCTTCTACATGCTTTCTTCCTCAATTTTTCCAACTTTTTCCTCTTTTCTCTAATGTTTTAAATTCTTTTATACTAAGGAGGGATGGATAGGAGTTTGATGTAAGTCGCAAATTTTTCTTTTGTGATTTTTTAACTTACTTTGCCTACTTAAACATTTTTGTCTTGGCTGTAATAAAATTCTTTTTGCCAAAATCTAATCTTAATATACAAACCTTACTACACAAATAATAGAGTGTGTGGTGGTTGATCATTTGGTCCCTCTTCCATATCTATTAATTCATTAACTGGTGAAGTTAGTGGTGAATCTACTGGTGTTTTTACATCTGGTACTTCAGTAGGAGGATCATCTATAAAAAAGGAAATTAGATGAACTTAACTACCTTATTTACCTGAGTTTAGATGTGGATACTTATTATCCCATTGTTTTTGAATAAGCTTGATATATATATTAATATAATCCATCAAAGACTGTTATACTCTTCTTTCAACCAACTTTAGTCTATATTAAATGGCAAGTTTAGATTTAAACTTTGGCAATCAAGTTAGTTCTCTGAGTAAGCTATTTCACTTTTAGTTCTCTTCACAATCAACAAAAACAAACAAACTTTTGTCTCTCATAAATAGAGCCATGGTCAATATTAAAAACTTTAGACTTTACCCCTTTTAGCAACAATGGTATTGGTGGTCAATTGTGGTATTTAACTTGATGATTGTTGAAGTACATTTTGTGAAGATAAACTTTTTTCTTGCAATTTGGATGCAAGCAAACATGACTATACAATTTGGAACTATCATCACAATTGATTCCCTTTGAGAGCAAATCCAAACCTTTCCAAACTAATTGATGGCTCTTTTTAATACCTCTACTAAGAAATGTACTTGATTTGAATTTTCCTTACTTGTGGCCATGATGGTGCCTATTGTGATGCTCTAGTGCTCTCCTAACTTTGAGATCAAAAGGCAATTAAATACCCTAAACCGTCAAGGCATGTTGAGGATTTTCAATATAATTTGTCATCCTTACAAATACAATTTGGCATGCAATAAATTATAACTTATTATTTATATATAATTAGTTTTGTTTAAACATATTTGGTCATACAATATATTTAATTTGTCATCTAAATATAATTTGCCATACAAATATAATTTGACATGGTTACTTTGGAATTTATCATGTGGGGAAAATAGTAATTTGTCATGATAATCTATAATGTGTCACCTGGTCATTTTGGAATTTGTCATGGAGGGAAGTAGTGTGGCACATTAAATTTATAATTTGTCACCTAATTTGGAGAACAGTTTAGTTGGGCTAACAACTTCCTCGTACAGCATCCTACAACAAAATGATTTTCACACACACAAAAAGTAGACGAGGATTGGAAAGCTCGGCCACCATAGCTCCCAGTTTGTAAAGGTTGAGTACCTGGAATTAGAAAAACACATTGAAGAGACCCGTGACTTTCGTCTTGATGCTTATTTTTTCCACCAACGAAGACGTCCTCTCTGGATTCCTGTAGCTCCGATCCGAGCCAATCTTTACTTCCTGGAAAGCTCAAGTAATTTTAAATTCAGCTCCAGCGACACAAAGGGAACAAACACCACAGAAGCTTACAAGAGCTTCGTCATCGAACGCGGATCTTACTCGGGTGGTCTGTTTCAGCATAGAACCAGGAATTAGACTTTCATTCGTGTAGAGAGCACACGGACTTGGAATAAGAGAAGAAGGCCGAGCAAACCAATTGGAGCTGCTGAAAGCAAATTGTTCGTGTAAACTAGAGCACCAGCGGTACCTGAAAGAAAGAACACTCCTTGCTTCTCATTTTTTTCCACAAAGACCCAGAAGAACGATTGGAATGCGATAATCAGGTGCTGGAATGACAGTCTCCCCAACGATCTTGTTTTAAACTACACAAGGACTTCGTCACGAATATCGCTCGAGAAACCAGAGAAATTAGTACCTGATTCCACAGCCCCAGGTCTTGATAGCCTCCTTGTCGAGAAGATCACAGAAAAACTTGGAGCGCTTCACAGCAATCCAGCGCCTACATGAGAACGGTCGGGATCATGGCATATTCGTTTTTCTGTTTAAGAATATTCCTGTGTGATTACTATTTCTCACTACTTTTTAACCACCTTTAAGGATTCTAGAATGTCTGACGTGAACAACCACCTAATTGAGAAGTATCTTCGTCAATCGTTGAAAAGTTTACCTCAAAGTTGCAAGGTGACGGCATCGGTCTTGTACGCAAACGCGCAAAAACAAAAGGCAAGCAAACAAACAACTTTTTTCTTCAATCGCGTGGTAAATCCCATCGAACTTATTAGACATCACACCATCATCCTTCTAGATCGAAAAAAAAAAGAAAAAGAATCTTAAGGCAAGCACCAACTATGAGAGTGTGATGGTATACACTTGGGCCAGGCTGGGCTCAAACAGCCCAAAATTCCTCTCGGACACCGGCCCGGTCTTTTGGTCCTCGTTGAACAGCGCAAAAATGTAAGTCTCCGCCGTGACGCCGGGCCGCGCGGGAGTGCCCACACCAGACACCACATGCCGGATGAGATTCTGGTTGTACCGTGCGGCATTGGCGGTAGTGGCGCCGGGCTCGTCCCCCTTGCTAGGCCACCCGGTCTCGGTTACCACCACGGGCATATTCGGGTAGCCGAGCTTTGTGAGCGCTGACGTCACCGTGTCCACCATTGCGTCATACATGTTGCTGTAGTGGAGGTTGGCGGGCGCGTCCGTGACGCCCGGGTCGGAGCCGAAGAGCGCGTATTCCAGCGGTACGTTGGTCGGGTCACCGGCGTAGCTGAAGAAGGGATAGACGTTGATCATGAAGGGGCTGCCTGACGTGGACAGGAAATCCACCACTGGCTTGAGGGCGATGGTGGCGTTGAAGGCGCCGTTGGAGGGCGGGAAGGATGACGCGTCCATGACGTTGAAGGCGTGCGGCGTGGAGACCACGGTGCCGGCGGTACGCAGCGCGGTGTGCGACTGTATCGCGGACTGGACGTTCTGGAGGGCCGGGAGGAGGAAGGGGGCGTACCGCGCGTTGTTTGTGAGGACCTCGTTGCCGATGGAGATGGCGGGGAAGCGGACGGCGGGGATGAAAGGGGCGATGGAGGCGTCCAGCCAGGCCTTGGCGGCGGCGGGGCTGGAGGCGATTTGCTGGAGCTGCTCGTTGGGGATGGAGACGCTCAGATCGATGCCCGAGTTTGCGAAGGCCTGGATCACTGCGGGATCGGCGTCGAAGATGCGCGCCTTGGTTATGTTGTTGGATTTGAGCAGCGCCACGACTTGCGCCGGCGATGGGAGATTGTCGCCCAATCTCCCGTAGTTCACGCCGATGCTCGCTCCATCCGCGCCTGCCAAGAGAGGGGTCAAATCGAAACGCTCTGATTCAACCAAGAGAGAGGAAGAGATCTAAAAATGTGACCGTTTTGTGTCTGGAAACGAAAATGCGAGAGCTGGAAGACGAGGAATCGTGGGGAATCTTGCCGAGAGGATCTATAAACTCACCAGAAATGCCCTCCAGCGCAGCCAAAGCCGCGACGAGCATCAGCACTATCACCAGCAGCCGATTGAATCCCACTCCCGCCTCCATGGAATCAATCAATCGAAGGAATCGCCCAAAGCGTTTGCGATTGATCGATGAGGAGGGAAAAGAGAGAGAAAGAAGTGACGAACGAAAACGCTTGCTCGAGCTAAACAGAGGAGCAGTGGCAACACTACAGCGGCTTAAAGACAGTCCGTTGTGCTTAATAATTCACGGTTTAATTAGTCGAAGACTAAGGTCCACACGAGTCAGTGCCAGTATACTACAGGTAAAACGTAAAAAAGAAAAAAAGAGAGAATCTTTATTTCCAGTAAAAATTCTCTATCTACATCTGTACATTCTCCACACCGCGATTGGGATCTCGAAGAACTCTTTCACAGGAAGGATCGTGATCTTGGGCAATTCGCGCAATTCTAGCGATGGAGTTTGCGTCGATCGAATTGGGTAAAGGATTGAGCAGCAGCTCTCGCGAAGGGTGCCATCGATTGATACAGATGCGGTGCGCTTGGAATGATAAAGAGGACGAAAGAGCTCGCCCTAATTTTTGGCATTTAGAAGATATCGATCCTCGGACCCTTTTATAGAGAAGGAGGAGCGATGGGCGGCTCTAGGGCAGTGCTATGCGGTCCGGCAAGGGTTGAGGCGCTCTTGGCACGGCCGCTCGAGGCGCCAGGCTGCGGCTGCTAGAGGTAGGCAAGGATTTAGGGTTCCAAGGCTGAGATTTTTTTCTTCCAGGGGATTCGGCGCCCTCGATTTTGGGCTTCTTCGCCATGCAAGGGCTATTCAGCGGCCAGAATCTGAGTGACAAGCTCGTCAAGCTCAACAGCACGCAGCAGAGCATCGAGAGTAAGATCTCTTCCGTTTCGCCTTCTCATGGTGGATTCTTTCTTCTTTTTGCTCCTCAGCTCTGTCACATTGGTGCATTTTTCATCGGAAGTATGCAAAGCAAGTCGTGGATATTTGGGAGAAGGAGTTCTTCCAGGCGCCGAGAGAACAACGCGTCCCTTTCTTGTTCCTCGCCAACGACATCTTGCAAAACAGTCGCCGAAAGGGCTCGGAGTTTGTCTCCGAGTTTTGGAGAGCCTTGCCGGGTGCGCTCAAGCTCGTCATGCAAAATGGAGACGATAGCAATCGGAACACGATCCTTCGACTGGTTAGTTTTCTTGTTCATGCGAGCTCGATATGACTCCATGCTTGATAGATTGATATATGGGAGGAGAGGCGGGTTTTTGGATCGCACGCTCACGGCCTGCGAGTGGAGTTACTGGGAAAAGATGACGCCAAGAACGTATGTCGACGGTTTTTTGTAAATGCTCTAGTGACGACTCTTTCTGGCTTGATCACAGAGCGATGCGCTTATGCCAGAAAAACTCGTTGCAGTGTACAAAGCGTTTCAAGACAAACTAACTGACGAGGACGCGACGGTCTACAAGTGCCAAACCGCGGTTCTTCACATGGATGCCTTTGAAAAAGAGATAGACACGACGACCATATCAGGTGATTGTCTGCGTCTCCTTTGGTCCACAACTCGTTTTTGAACAAGGATCTTGCCTGCCAGGGCAAGAGAGTAGCATTATCTTGATAGAGGAGCTGCAGCAGCGAGAAACAATCCTTTTGGAGTGTGCTCAGCAGCTGGAAGCTATAGAGATTGCCCGCTCCAGCATTGTTTTCCAGCTTAAGGAAACTCTCCGGGACCAGGTGTGTGAAGCGAATTTACTTTCCAAGTTACTCTTTTTCCCCTTCTAAACACTGTTTGTTCTCGCAGGAGGACAAGCTCGAGAGAACACGACTTTTGCTCCAGGTTTGAAACGTGCTAGCGATCCAAAACTTCACAACCCAATGATCCTCGTCACAATTTTCGCAGGCTGCTCACACTCACGCCGACCAAGCTAGGATGATGCAGCAGCAAATCTATGACGCTGCTAGCGGCCAAGCTTACCAGCCAGTAGTAGCGAATGGCTCGACTGGCGGCGGCGGCCTTCTAGCTCACCACCATCACTACGATTCGAGCAACCAGCAGCACAGCGTCCCATCTCTCTTGAGCAGCGAAGCCGAGTGTTACGTCCCGACCGAGGCGAAGATGTTTGATCCGGCCGCCGCGGCCGAGGTCGCAGCTAAGCTGGTAGCGTCGAGCTCGTCAGCAGCGATGATCTCGTCTGTCTTGTCGTCCCTTGCAGCGGAGAATGTGGTGAAACTACAAGATCCGCAAGACAAACATCTGCAGCAGCAGCAGCGCAGCTTTGATGATCCGACCGAGAACTACGGTCAAAACCCAGAAGAAGTAGCGATCGAGGAGGAAGTAGAAGAGGAGGAAGATCCGGGGCGAGAGCCGCCAGAGAAGCGGCAGAAGGTGGATGAGGGCGAGGAGGAGAGTGAGTCGCTCTTGGGGCCGGCGGTGGAGCTGGAAGAAGAATTTGGGGAGGAGGTATCGGCGGCAGAAGTGACGAGCTCCATCCCATTGTCGCCGGCGGCGGTGGTGGCGGCTGTGGCGGCGCCCCCAGCGACAGAAGCGGTGACGACCGCGACGGCGGTGGCGACAACGATAATGGGCTCGTCATCGTCAATGTTACTTCCCTTTAGTTTTGGAGGGCAAAGCTTGGGATTCCCATTGCCAGTGGCGGCGCCGCCGGGCTGTGCTCCAGCGAGCGATCATACAAGCACTAGTTTGTTTGCTCTCCCGCGACAATGATCTTCCTCCTCGAAGGGCTATAAAAGGTTTGGTGTGCTCGCTGGATTCGAACCCCCGTTCTTTTAGGGTTTATGGATTTGCATCTCTTAGAATAAAGGTATCCGGCCTTTTAGGGTTCTACGGAACAAACGGCGAACTGCCAACGCATAACCGGATGAGTTTTGTTGTGTCTGTTGGAGAAAAATTTGGCCGCTTTTCTTCGCATTTCTTGGAGCTGCCGATCTAGGCGCTGGGTAGGCGCTAGCTCGGAGTGGGAAGAATCGCGCGGCGGCAGGCAGGGTTGCTTTGATCGGCCGCGGCGATGGTGAAAATGGACGAGTACGAGATCATGGACAAGATGGAGGAGCTCAAGAAGCTCCAGAAGGAGCAGGAGGCGATCAAGCTGGAGAATGCGCTGCTGTCGGAGCATCTATCGGTATGTTTGATCCTTCTTTCTCGGGGATTTGGGCCTCCCGATATTTCGATCGATCTTGCGGTGTCTCGGGGGTCTGGGGTTGGATTGAAATATCTGGCTCACGGATCGATCTCTTGCAGCGGATCGTGACGCGCAAGGGCAGTATGCAAATCCATCTGGAAAATCTGGAAGCCGAAGAGCAGGAAAGAGAGGCCGAGGAGAAGGAAAAGGCGGATGCCGCTGCCGCCCTTGCGGCGGCGACTGCAGCCGATGCTACAAAGAGGAGGAGGAGCACGAAGAGATCGTTTCGGGTTTTCCAGGAGGTCCAGAGGCCCTCCGTCAAGTTCTTCTCGCCACTAAGAGATTCTCGCAAGCCTCGCGTTCGAGCTCCCATGAGTCTAGAGGAGAAGCTGGAAGTTGTGGACGACGAGATTGGGTGTCACAACGAGCAGATGAACCGGCTGAGGGCCGAGAACAATCGAGTGCTGGACGATCTGCGAGCGGTTTTCGAAGAGACTGACTATGGGATCAAGGATCTTGCCAGTGAGAAGAACACCATTCAAAGAGATTTGATGATCTTGGCGGAGATCAATCCTCGTCGAAAGCTCTACACTGAGGATTTCCTGAGGTACTAGCCTCTCGCTCCCCAAGTTCTCGCTAGTTTCTTCCTGGGTGACATAAAAGTTTCTCTTTCAGGTTTCAAGGAGAGAAGCTGAGGAAGAAAAGGAACATCCGGGAAAAGCTCCAAGAGAAGATTGATATACTTCACATGGAGGTCATGGACGCGGAGCACCAATTCTCCACCAAGAGGGATCTCAAGGACATTTTACACGTGATCGACTTTGATCAGCTCAAGATCCAGAGGATTCAGCTGCGATCGCGTATTCGTCTTCGGACAAGTGAAGTGTGGAGATATAAAGCTTTGATAAAAAATGCTGGCGCGGTAAGAACACTGGCACACTGGCTTTCACTTAGTTTTTAGTTATAGTACTTGTGTTTGATGCAGCTCTTGATGAAAGCTCGCAAAGATCTCGAGGAGAAAGTCGAGGAAGGGAGGCGCATAAGGCAAAGCATTGTGGACAGAACACCACAGATCTCGTCTTCGCAGGTGGAGATCAACGTGGAGAAGAAAATACAAGTCAGTCATTCTTTTTCTTTACGGTTCAGGATTCTCATCTTTTAGTTTTCTGATCCCAGAGAAGCCTCAACGAGGACATTCTTCGGCTAATACAAGAACAAGACGGCCCTCCCCAGCCCCACGTTCTAGATTACATGCGATATCGTATCAAAGTAGCGGAGCTGAGGAGAGAGCTCAAGACTTGGCTCAGCAAGGTGAGGCTTCTGCTCTCTTCTTTTTATTTCTTTTCGTTTTTTCTCTTTTTGTTTAGGCGATAGCATTGTAAGCCCTGAAATTGCAGGTGGACGTGATCGAACAATCGCACATCCGGCTGAGAAATCACGTGAGATACGTCAGGAAACAACGAGACGCGATTCTTGCTGCATCACCGGACATACTAGCGTCACTACCGGATCGAGGTGCTACTCCTGTGCAACCCAAGCTCGCGCCTGTGAAAGTCAGTCCAATGCAAACCAGCTTCACTCCCGTCGCAGTTCACGGTTGATCTATGGCCAGCCAGTTGCGGGGCTCGCTGTTCAAGGCCAGGATTGCCGGAGGTGACGACATACTCAATATGCAGGTGATATTTTTTGGAGATTGTGTCTACTTCAAAACTAAGCTTTTTTCTTTCAGACTACAGCAAGAGAAAATTGATACACTTGATCAGAGCCACCAAGAACCATCCAATCGTGCATTGGAAACTTAATCGTACAGGTAAAAAAAAATGCTGAAGAAAGTCTTGGCCACGCTTATTGCCAAGAGCTAGATAGGTCGGGAGATCGCTCTCTTCATCGCAAGTTAACATCGGGGGTTATAACTTTCAGGGCTCGTTCAAGGCCTGTATTGCCGGGTGCTCCGCGTAATAGCTGAGCGTTACAGGCCGGGAAGTTGGCGGCACGGGGGCCGGCACGTCTCCACTCAGAAACTGGCAACATTCTCGCATCGTCGGCCTGCTATCCGCATCGGGATGGCAGCACAAGAGTCCGAGGGTCAAGACGCGCTCCATTTGCGACGCATCGAAGCACTTGATCAACTTCACGTCCGCGGCCTCGAGCAGCATTCCTCCGGTGTTGGCCTTCCACACCCAGTCGAGCAGAGTTATTCCATCGGCTTCGAAGCTCTTGTCCAGCGCGTGGAGGCCGGTTGCGATCTCCAAGAGGACCACTCCAAAGCCGTAGACGTCCGACTTTACGGTTGCTCTTCCGGTGTACGCCAACTCGGGAGCGATGTATCCCAAGGTTCCGACTTTGGTCATGTCCTCGGTGGTGGCGTCCATGAATCGAGCTAGGCCGAAGTCGCCGAGCCGGGGAACGAAATCAGCATCCAGCAAAACGTTTGCGGCTTTCACGTCCCGGTGGACGATCTTGTGCTCCCATCCTCCGTGCAAGAAGGCGAGCGCTTCGGCGATGCCTCGGGCGATGTTGTACCGCTGATCCCACTGGAGAACGCGCCGGTGGTCGAACAGGATGGTGTCGAGGCTCCCGTTGGGCATGAACTCGTAGACGAGGATGAGTTTGCTCTTCTCGTGACACCAGCCTCGGAGAGAGACCAAGTTCTTGTGCTGGAGGCGGGAGATGATGGACAGCTCCGATATAAACTGGTGGTGGCTCTCCTTGGAATCGTTGGCCAGCAGCTTCACCGCCACAACCGAGCCGTCGCTGGACAGCACTCCCTTGTAGACGCTTCCCATCCCTCCGCGGCCGAGCAGCTCTTTGTCGCTGAAGTTCTTCGTCGCTAGCGCCAACTCTTCGAAACTGAAGAGCGTGAAGGAGCAGCCGGCTTTGTTCCGTCTCTGGATACTCCGTGTCTTGATGTAGACCCGGAGGAAAGCCTGGAATTGTAGCAGCGCAGCTCCCAGCAGCAGCATCGCGACTCCCAGCCCGGCCGAGGACACCAAAACCGCGACTATGAAGTTCGTTCTACTGCAGTACCACGCCTTGCAGGCTCCCGGTGGTGCGCTCTTCTTCGGGGGATGGCTCACGTACCGGGTGGTGAAGCTCCATTTATAGATCTGGTAATACTGGTGACACTGGCCAGTGGATGCGGAGAAGCCAACGTAGAAGCTTTCCCTCTGGAGAATCGCCGGGAGCCTCACTCTCGGCAATTCCAGGTCTGGCTTTGCGGGTCTCCTGTTTCCGTTGCTAACTCTCACCTCTAGTGTGTCGTAGAGGCCCCAGTACTCGATCCACGCGGTGAGCGTGAGATTACTGGCCAGGAGCTCCTGCATGTTGCTTCCAGTCGTTTGAGCCGAGATGAGGCTGCCGAGATCCACACCGACGTGCTGCCAGGGCGGGTCCTCGTACACCATGTTCTGGTGCGTGTCAAACTCCACCGCAAACGTGTGGTTGAGGCTCCGGCCGGGGGTCATGAGGCCGAGGACGCTTCCGGGTGGAGGAGCCCGAGGCTTGGGGACGACGACGAAGGCGAATCCTTCTCCCTGCTGGCACGACGGCTGCGTGATCTTGAACTGAAACGAGGTGTTGAAGGTGACGAGCTTGACAGGGGCGTCGGCATGGCGGAAGCGGACCGGGAGCTTGTGGTAGACTCGTCCGACGCTCCCTGGCTGCCCCGAGGTGAGGAAGATGCTCGTCTCTTTGCCTTTTGCGCTGCCTTTGAAAGCTAACAGGTTGCTGTTCTGGAAGGAGGGAGTGAGGGTGAAGGAGATGTCGTCGCCTGCTTGGCACAGGGGGAGTGTGAGTGAGATCCAAAACACGAGCACAGCAGCGGCAGCAAGCATGGTTCTGGAAGATGGAAGATCGATCTAAACAGGTTGGGTGGTCGCACGAACTTATGTTGGAAGTTCCGGTGGACGGACGGCGGACTCCCGCAAGGCCGCATTATTGGGAGACAGGACAAAGACCAACAGTTAGAAGCAGTTTTCTTCGTTACCTCTTACAAACGAAGTCTATCGGGCTGGAGGAGGAAGAACTCTCAAGTTTTCCGTATCGTCTCACAGACTTCATTGATAAAGGTAACGACATAGTAGTTTATGATCTCCTCTTACATGTTTTTCTTTTCATTGTTTTTCAGGCGCCATGCTTCCAATTTGAGGAAACTTGCGGAGTGTTACAGTGAAGAAAATGGCAGGACGGGGGAAAAGAACTGCTAGACGAGGGTCTTAGGAGGAAGCTCTGAGAAATCTGGCCACGGCCCTTTGGCCCTCCACGACGGCTTGCTGGGACAGCTGCCCGGGCAAGGCGAGCTTGCAGGCGGTCTGGATGTCCTTGGAGGAGAGCGTGGCCGCCTTGTTGCGCCGGACCAGCTCCGCCGCCTCTCTCGCCAGCCTCTCAAACATGTCGTTCATGAACGTGTTCATGATATCCATGGCCGTGGCCGATATCTTGAGATCCTCGTGCGTTGTCGACCGCAAAACCTTGAGGATGTAGCGCTTGTACGTGTTGCTCGCCGCCGCCTTCTTTCGCTTACCGGATCCAGGAGCTTCTGCCGGAGTCGCTGGAGCTTCAGTTTGGGGCTGCGCCGCTGGAGGAGCTTCGGATTTCGTCGAGGGAGTCTTCTTGGCGGGAGCTTTCACCGGAGGCTTCTTCATCGTCTTCGCCGGCACCTTCACTGGCTCCGCCACCCGGGCGCTCTTCGCCACCTTTGCCATGCTGCAAAGGCAAACACAGCCCAAGCTGTATATATATATCCCTCCATTATAAAAAGTCACTCTCAAGCTCAGGTATGTCCGTATAGAATATGTTGTCCGTACGCAACCCCTCTCCATACGGAATACGTCCGTACGCAAATTAGGAAATGTGATGTGCCTACCAAGATTCTTTACAACAACGACAGTAACACGAACCCGAAAAACATCATGCATATCTCTCGTTTGAGCATAGTTTGGAGGCTCAGAGAAGGAAGTTAGGCGTTCCTGTAAGTGAAGTACAATGCATAGCTGATGAGCCGGTTAAACTAACTTTCTATTCAAGAGAGCGGAATTTGCTTCGTAAACAACAATACCCTTACACTGTATAAGCCTCGTTGTCGTCTGGAACATAAATGGGCACCTCAAGATCACGTTGAGCAGATACTTGTCGCGCGAATATCGTCCACGATGATGTTGCTACTCGACAAGTCCTGCAACAAGGTGTTGCCGGTAGAGTCTGTGCGAGAAGATTGGATCCAAAACCTGCAGCGCAGCCTCGGCATACGGCTGCGCCGATGCAGTCCACAAACCAGCTCGTACAGCTCGGCCATGGCGTGCAAGAAAGAATCCGCACCGGGTCTCTTGGCCATGTAGAAATCGTCGCCTTCTCCACACAGGCAGTCAAAAAGGCAGCCTCGCGCGCATCTCATGTAGACCCAGATCGAGCCTCTCTTCTGAGGTGAGCACGCTTGTTCCAGCAATGGCTGCCCATCGTTCGGTGCCGACGCTACACGGCCAATAGTCAATTTGATGTCAAAGCAGCGCCGCAGCTCCCCAATCTCGACGTCCAACTTCGAAGAGGAAGAAGAATATTCTTCCATAAAAGGTTATCCGTTCAGAATGTTTTATCCGTACACAAAGGCGTATATTCCGTACATTAGGTTTCGGCTCACATTTTGCCATAATCAGTCAAACTATACGTGTGTTTCTTGTTGCAAGAGTAAGCACAGCGCAGCTAAACCAGAGTATGGTGATGGTGGTGAGAATGGTGGTGCTGGTGCTGCGAGTGATGGTGATGAGCGATGTTAGCGTCGGAGCGATCGCAGCAGCTTGCCCCTGGATTGTTGGCGGTGGGAGCGGCAATGATACCGCTCCCTCCGCCGCCACTTCCACCGCTCGGATGGTGCTGGTGATGCTGCTGCTGCTGCTGCTCCAGAGCTCCTCCTCCTCCTCCTCCCGCCATGGCCGACTGCTCGCCTTCTTCCTCCTCCTCCTCCGCCTCCTCCTGGCTGCTGCTCTCAAACTCCTCCGCCCGCTGCACCAGCGACAGCTCCATCTTGTCCATCTCGCCCTCCACCTTCCGCCGGAGGATCTGCAAGTGCTCCCCGGTCACCATATGCACCACCGACATCTCGTCGATGAGGCTCCGGTTCTGCGCCTCCTGCAGCCCCTCGCCTACCCGCGCCGCCACGTCCGGGTGCCGCCGGTTGAACCACACCCACCACTTCTTCACGGGGATCCCGTCCTTGAACGGCGAGCCTTTGTTCACCGACAGCGGCGCCACCCTCCGCCGCAGCGAGTTGAGCGTCATGAGCGACTGCGATACCTGCTGGATGCTGAAGAACCACTCCACGATCGCCGACTCCTGCTCGCCCCTCGTCATTCCTCCGTGCGGGCCTCTCTTCCTCGAGTGCGTCCTCCCGTTGAGCCAGTTCCTCAGCGTCGTCCTGGGGATCCCGTAGCACTGCCCGGCCTTCCGGATGGAGATCCCGTTCTTGATCGCCGCGAGAGCGTTGTGGAGCGCCTGCTCCGTCCACCCGTTGCTCTTCCTCGACTTCTCGTCCGACTCTTTCATCTCCCCGGACTCAAACTGGCCCTCGTCTTCCTCCTGCTTGCCTTCACCACCACCACCACCACCACCACCACCACTCGGGCTTCTCTTCTGTGCACCGTTGAGCGTGTACTTGATTGTCGAGCGCGGGATCCCAAACTGCTGCCCCGCGCTGCCGATAGTGCAGGAGCCACTCTTCACGGCTTCCACGGCATCTAGCAGCGCCTGCTCTGTCCATTTGCCACCTTTTCCCCGCTTCTTGCCTCCGGACATGGAGATATCCGCGGACTCGAGCTGCTGCTCCACGCAGGCGTCGTCTCTTCCAGGCGTAAGCTCCTCGCTAGCGTCATTGTATGGGAAGTCTTCCCCAGTCATCCTACCACCTTCTTCTCCCAAACTAGAGTCTCCCTGCTCGAAAGCGAGAGATGTGTGCGGGCCGCGTTTCCGGGACCTTGTCCGACCTGTTATCCAATTCCTGAGCGTTGTCCGTGGTATGCCATAAGCCCGGCTTGCTTTGCAGATCGTCAAGGTGTTGTTTTTAATCGCTTCCATAGCCTCCATCAGCGCCTTCTCCGTCCAGCAGCCAACTTTCTTCTTCCCTTCTCTGGCCTTTTTCTTCAAACGCTCCTTCTTCTCGCCACCATCAGGAATCTGATCGTCACCACCGTCGTCCTCGTCGTCATCTTCGTCGTCTTCCTCATCATCCTCATCGTCATTCATCTCCGCCACAGCCATTGCATAGGCATCCTCCCTGCTACCATGGAATGGCTGCCCGTATACAGTAACCTCGGCCCCTGACGACGATGACTTCTTCTCCTGCTCCTTCATCCAGTAGTCAAGCGTCGAGTTTGGAATGCCGTAAACCTGTGCTGCCTTGCTCACAGGCATCCCCCCGTTCCTCACAGCGTTGAGTGCCTCAAACAGCGTATGCTTCGTCCACACTCGCCTCCTCTTCCGCAGCAAACTATCCTCCTTACTGTCACTCCCATGCCCCTCCTCACCGGAGTTTATCGTCACCTCGTTCCCCATCATCAGCGTTCCGGGATGCTGATCGCCCTGCATCTCCTGGCGACAAAACGAGAGAGCCTCGTCTACTTTCGGCCCGCGCTTCCTAGACCTGTTCCTCCCGTTCAACCAGTTCCGCAAAGTCGACCGAGGAATCCCAAAGTCCTTGCTCGCTTTGTAGGCTGTCAAGGATCCACTTTTCACAGCCGCCACCGCGTCGCACAGAGCCTGCTCCGTCCATCGGACTTCCCTCGTCCGCTTCGAGTCGGGCTGGTCGCTATCGTTTCTCAGCTCGTCATCGTCGTTGGCATCGCAAAGAGAAGGATCCTCCCACCTCCCACCCTCCGCTTGCATGACTACGTGGTGCGAGCCATCTAAGACGTGGTGAGCTCCTTCCATCACCGAGACGCTCTCAGCCCGGCCACTGTAGAGTGGCTGCTCCCACCGGACCTCTTTCACGATCTGGTGCTGCCCTCCACCGCTGCCATCGCCTCTAGCATCGCAGAACCCCTGCTCGGTCCATCGGAGCTCTAGTTTGTTCACGGCCTGGTGATGATCATCGTGGGAGCCGGGAGCTACCACACCCATCCCTCCTGCTAGAGCCACCAGAGCCTGCTGGCTTCCTTGCAATTCGCCCTCTCGCACGCCATACTGCGCTGCCACTCCCTGGAGATCCTCCCGGAGCACAAAATGCTGGCCATCCCTCACGACGTACTGACCAGGAATGTGGTGGTGGTGATGCTGCTGTTGCTGCTGCTGATGGTGGTGATGGCTCTCCGGTGCCATGGCGAAGTGATGCACGCCCTGGAGGTGATGCTCGCTCCCATCCCTCACGGAATCCATCTGCTGCTGGCTCAGCGACAAGACATTCACAGCGTCCATCCCGCGCAACGCTAGCGCTCTCACATCCTGCCCAAAACGCGCGTCAGAGCTAGAACCCTAAAATTTCTTGCAAGAACTGGAGAAAGTGGGGAAGAAATCTCTCCAAGAAAACGCCCCCGGAGAGCTGGGAATCCCGAGAAGGAGCGCGGCTTGCTCACCTCGACATCCGGAGGACGCGCCAAGAAAATGCCGCAGAGATTAGGGCAAGAGATCCAGGAGAAGCGGCGATCGTAGCGCCGGCGTCACGAAGCATCCTTACTCAAGAACCCTGGATGGAAACCAAAGAGAAAAAAAATTTGATCCGAGAGAAGAGCTCCCACTGTGAGAAAGAGAAAAACATTTCATTTATCTCGCCTAGTTTAAGCTACAAAATGCTTCGCATCTGCGCCGTCCGATGCCAAGCGGTACCAACGGCCACGATCCAGAGCGACATGGACGGACGAGATTGAGGTGCAATCTTTCCGTTACAGTCGTGGCGAGTTCCCAGCCGTTATTTTTCTTGCCAGTTCCAAAGTTCTGGGCTAAAACGAAGAGTTTCAAACAAAACAAGTACCCATAGAACGATGAACGATTCAAGGCACGTAAACAAAAGGCTCGGGAGGAGCTGGCTCCAAATCGACGCCTCCCATTGGGATTGGAGCGGCGGCGGGAGCTCCATTTGCTCCTCCTGCTGGAGCTGGCGACGCTGGCGAATCGGTGGAGACGAGCTCCACTGGCTCCGACGGCTCCAAGTCTCGCAGCATCACGAATCCCGCCGGAGTTCTCTTCACTGGAGCGTAGCGGCAGCCCTCCGGGAACCGGACATACTTCTCCTGGAGTGGGATCACTCGCGCTGGATTGCTCAAAACCTCGGAGGTGGCCTCGGGATTTACAGCCTTCTTCTCGACAGCACTGTCCACCTGGAACGGGATTCCAAAGTTTCAGCACAAGAACAAGAACGGAAAGAGAGAGAGAGAGGAGAGATGGAGTTACCTCCATAGCCTCGCTGCCATCTTTCGCTGCTTCTTTCCCTGAGGACGATTCCTCCGGAGGTTCAGCAGTAGAAGCTGCTTCGGACGTGGCTGCCGTGGCACCTGTGCTACTGCCGACGTCCATCTGCGAGCTCGTATCAGGCTGCTTCTCTGCCTTCGTCTTCGCGTCTGTGTCTTTCTTTGCTTTCGACTTGGAGCGGCCGGACGTGGATAGAACCGCCGTGGGGAGCTTGATGTTCACGTTGACGGATGGAGGCGCTGTCGGCGCAGGATATGCAAACAACGCGGGCTTCGCATCAGAGATGATGTCAAACTTCGGCATCCTCAGCTCGTGGTTGAGTCCGATGAATGCTGTTGGTGCGAAAGAGAGGCTGACGAAGTACGTCAGCGGGTACCAGTACCAAAACTGGGTGAAAACGGCCATCCCCACGACTGCCATCACCCGGTCGTGACCAGTTCGCGACTGCAGAGATATGGTCACATTCCTGCCTCCGGCATCTAGTATACCATACGCCAGTATGGCTCCCATCTTGCTCATCGTGTCCTCGTGTTTGTCACTAACAATTTTGTCGAGTTGACGCCTGCGAGAGGAACATCACTTCTAAGCGTTATACTGCAAATAGCTGACAAACCTGAAAACAGCAACGTGAGGCTCTCGGGCTTCGGTAGCCTGCATCAGAACCATCGCCATAGCCATAAGTGCTCCCTGGCGAACAAAGTCCACAGCGTCTGACGTCAAAGGTTCCAGAAGCGAGATCGCCTCACTGGACGCAGTTCCAGCACAGGAGATTCCGACAGCCATAGCCGCGCCGTAACGAACGTGAGCGTTGTACGACTCCGACAAAAGGGAGACAATTTTTGGAGTCTAAGAAAAAAAAGAAAAAGTTAGACGTCGTCATATGCAAGAGAAATAGTGAATCTTACCTGAGTAGGATCAGAACATAGCACGAATCCAAGAGCCAAAACTGCTGCTCTTCGGACATCGTCACTCACGTCCGAAACGGCAAAATGCAGCAGACGGCGGATAGCACTGTTGTTAGACGTGCCTCTATAAGCCAGAGCCAGGGCGTACATGCCACCATAGCGAAGAATAGGATCCTGATCCCTTGTCATCTGCTCGATCAAAGTATCTGCTTCTTCTTCACGACCATAGACAACCAGCGCTATTCCAAGAGCCAGCCCCCTTATAATCTTCTCGTGTTGTGTATCGTGAGCATACGTGAGCATTTCTCCGGCTTTATCGCTGGCGCTTCCAACCATAAGCAGACCCATAGCAATCCCTGCCGCCTCGCCAGCGATGGCGCTGTCTGTATACAGTACATGTTTTATGTCTTCATAGATTTCATCGTCGGCAGTGCCCAGTGCGGCTAGTCCTAGTCCAAGACAAGCACCATGTTGGATCACCTGCATCACAAGTACCAAAACATTATTTACAAACGTCTTACTGAGAATGACGCTTACCTCATTGTTTGTTTTTCTCAAGCTTTCTAGTAAGAACGACTTGATTCCTTCACCGTGGTTAGCATGTATTAGTCCTAAAGCGTAAAGAGCTCCACCTTCCGAGTATGGACTTCCCCCACCAGTCCCACCATCTTGAGGTAGATATGGGGCCATTAAAGAGCGGCCCTGCTGCAAATGACCTCTGTGAATAACACCCAGCCCAGCCGTTGCACTAAACTTTGCCCAATTGGTGGCCCGACTCAGCCAATCCTAACAATATGCTCTTCAATCAGCCGCAGCATTAACAACAAAAAAAGAACGCTCACCAGATTATCGCGCAAAAACGTATCCACTGTTGTCCCCGCATGCATCAAAGCATTGGAGTATATTGTAGCGCTGTGACAAACACTGTTTCTCGTTTCAACTGAATGCTTGATAGTCTTCAGAATAAGGAGGTCGGACCTGAAAACATAGCAGGCATAAGAATCGAGAAAGATAACAATGGTCTTACTTGTTACGGCTGTATAAAAACTGTAAAGTGAGATGGATAGGTGTTTCTCCAGAAAGAATGCCCTTCAATTTCCCCATCCTGTCGACATAGATATTATCCTGGGAATCCTCGACGTTAGTGGCTGCTTCTGCACTTGTTGAAACGTCCATCATTCCGTTTTGTTCTGTAGTTTCCGTATTTTCACCCCCGCCTGAACTACTTCCAGCCCGAGCCTCAGGCAAACGGTCCCTCACGTTTAGTAGGAACAGCTGATTCTCGTTTTCAAACAAATCGAAGGCGATCTGATAAGCCAAAAGTGCTTCGATCTGCCAATACGAGTAACAACTTCAGTATCAACGTTAACGGAAGCATTATTACCTTGTCTCCTTTGATAAGCTTGTCAAGAATATTAGCGACAGTTTGAGGATCATTTAGAAACATTAGGCACTGGCAGACTGTGAGATAGTCCGGAGAATGGAGCCCCTGATGCTGGTTTACAATTAAACGGAGAACCTAGTCAAAGAAAAGGAAGAAAAGATAGAAAAGGTTAGAGCTGAGTATGACAACACGGCTCGTTCACCTCTTGCCGAAACTCTCGCTTGTCAACATGAGTCCGAGCCAGCCGAAAGCAGTACGCAAGCATTCCTGGCACATTCTCACTCTTCCGGATGGCCTCCTGGAGTTTGTCAAGCCTTTGCGAGTCCAACGCCATGCCTATTGCTTGCTGATACTTTCTATCCTGCATGCACCTAAGACGACACACGGTAAAAAAAATGATCAAAGACTCGCAGCAATGCCAGCTCACTTGTCAAGCATCCTTTCCACGATTGCAACAAGGCGAGGATCAATGGCGGTTGCCCCTTCCCCTTCTCGTGTTTTCCGAAGAGCGATATAGTGATCCAGGCATTTGGCTAAGAACAAAAGGATCAAACTCCATTCGCAGAAGGACGAGAAATAAAATTGCCATACCCACGAGTGTTCTGACATAGTCGGAGTCTTCCAGAACATCGAAGAGAGAGTTCGCACCTAGAGCGTAAGTTAGCGAGTCGTTGTGCTCGCCCAAATAATAGAACACCTAGAAACCGGTGTTAGAAAATTCCGCAGCTTGTAGAAAAATTCGCTCACCTTGGAAGCCACAAGCGCAGCGAGCTCTCTCTGCTCAAAATACTCATCCTCGTAGAAGCTCTCGCTGCCAGGGCACAGGATTTGTGAGAGATCTAAACGTGAGCTACAAACGCTTACATAGTGGAAATGCTTGCCGAAATCTCGTGCCAGAAGGAATCCGCGAGAGAGTTGAGATTGTGCAGCGCGTATTTCTTGAGCTGCGGCTGCTGCTCCTGCAGCATCGCCAACAGGCCGCTCGCCGTGCTGGCGACCGTCATCGTTGCTCCTCCCACCAAACCCTAGGGGATCCAAGAACCCTAAAAACACAATTTACTGCTAAATGTCCTTCCTCCGGGCCGATGATGCGGAGTGGATGCGCGAGCTGCCCGCGATCCCAAAGGCGCCGGCGGCCGCCACGACGCGATGCTTCGCGAGGTGAGGTCCCACATTTCTCTGGATCGATCGGCGCATCGCGATTTCTTTTTGGATTGCCAGGCGCGGCAAAGTGATTCGGCTGGATGACCTCGTTGTGGACAACGATAAGGAGAAGCGGCAGAAGGAGCAAAAGAAGAAGCGGCGAGATGAGAGTAGCGAGAGCTCGGATGATGACGACGATGCCGCGACCGAGAGCCAGAAGAAGCTCGCGGCGCTCATCAAGAAATGCTCCGACGAGGTATGGGAGGGAAAGAAAAATTTCGTGGCTCTCACAAGAAATTCTTCCTGCGCAGCTGGGAGATGAATCCAGCATGAGAGATGCTCCAAAGTGGGGAGAGCAAGTTTTTGGAGCTCAGGTAATCTCACAAAGTTCTCTCTTTCTTTGTTCTTCTGTGCTAACTTTTTCTCTAAGCAGGATCTTCCAGTGAGTCGTCTCGAGCTGGAGTCTATCCAATGGCTATCACTGGCCTCAAGGACTTCGCGTAGGGACCAAGCTAGCGAGGACGACGGTATATTTTTTCCAAGTGTAAGCTAGTCATTCTATCGATATTCTTGCGTCCAGGGGAAGAGTTTTTGCTGGATCTCCTTACCGGACAGTGGATGTTGCCGCTCTTTCTTCACGGAAAATCGAGCCCAGCTCTTCTGCCATACATCTTTGACAAAAGTAAGCTTTTGTTTTGGCCAGTTTCTCTCACTGACGCCTTGAACAGTGACGTACTCTTCGAATACGCGCATCCAGCAAGCAGCCTGCTCACTGCTTTGCGAATACTTTCGTAAGCACGTAAATATCTGTTGTCTTGTGTTTTTCTCTTTGAAGCTATTATTTCTTTTTCCAGGGCGGTGAACTAGACTGGCACCCAGATTTTGTTCGGGTTCTTCGTTGTTATGGCTATCAAGACGCTACTCCTCAGGCTTCAGGTCTGATCCTGCCCCTTTGATAATAAGTTAAAGAAAGCGATGTACAGATCCCGCGGGAGCAATTGGACCACCTACAAATTTTTCATATGTTCTAGAGTTCTTGGCGGTTTTGTCTCGATCAAGGTGAAATCTCTTGTCCTTGATCCAGCTCTCGTCTTACTGACGCGTTTTTATTCATCAGTTTCTTGCAGAAGTCGGAACCTGAGAATTATATTTTCATCTTGGCACGGTGTTTGCTGGATAGGAAGCTCCTTCCTTTTTTCTCCTCGATCCAAGACTGCATCGCTCTTCTTGTCAACTACTTAACCGAGGATGAGTGGACGTTTTGCCTACCGAGGCTCGCACACTCGCTTGCAAGGTCTGGAAAAAATTATATCCATCTCTCTAAAGTTCTAACACTTGCGAGTTTGCACGATCCAGAGTTAGCAAAGAGCTCGTGAACGTCCTCCACGTAACCAGAAAGCTACGGGGTGCTCGCAAACGGATACAGCAGCTTCGAAGGGAAATATCCTTCGAGCTCTTGTCAATGACAAACAATGAGGTATTCATCCTGCAAATTATACAAGAGAATACAAGAAAACTGACCATACAGCTTTCGCGTTCTCCAGCTTGAAAGGCAGCCAAAACAGGTGATCTTCGCACTGGAAGGCTACGATCTAAAAGACAGTGTGGATTTCGTCCAGCTCTATTACCATATGGAGTTGGTTGATATGTGGCTGAGATATGATCCATCATTTAAGTCCGACGAGGAAGCCTTTAGCACTTGGATGTCTCTTTTGAGAGGCTTTTCCTTGCGGATCTTTTGTGGAGACTATCGAACTTTCGCCAACAAGGTTCTGCTTCTTGGGCATTTCTCTACATTTTTCTCTTCGTCGTTCTTCGTTTTTTTTTTTTTTTCCTGCGCAGGTCCGAAATCGAGCAGCATTCCTCGTCTCAATCTATTCGGAGAAATCAAGTTCTACTTCGTGATTTAAATCTGTGATCTTCACTAGAGAAGAATTCATTTTTGTGGAGCTATCACGCGGAGAAGTAAATCTCCACGTTTTTGTGAATGCCTTCAAAAATTGAAGAAACTTCTTGAGTCTCTAAATTGGATTTTCCTTATTATTCTATCGTGCCCAGTTGTAGTTTGCTGGGAAGTATTTAGCCAAGCAAAAACGAGCTAGGGTCAGCCGCATTGGTCAAGCAAATTGCTGACCGAGATGGTCAATATGTCATGAAGCGTCGGAAAAAAAAAAACAAGAAAAAAAAAAAAGGACGCAGAGAAATGCACAAAACTAGAAAAGTTCGACAAAAGATCTGCAAGGAGAAACCTTTGAAAAGAGACATCCAAGTGTTAAAGGCTTCCTCATCGGACTCAAACAATATCAACTAGGCGATAGAGTTGAACGCTCTGATATGTCATAAAAATGTGGTGTTCCCGTTAGGGCAGCCGGTAGCAGCTCTTTTCTTCACGGTCTTCGTGAGCAGCCAATGGTCCCCGAGCCCACTCATAGCAGAGGCGAGGACGGCGAGAAGCTCGAGGAGGCATGGCGTATCGCCATGGATTTGTTCCTCGAGTGGGACGAGGAGCTCCCACTCGCCTGGAAAGCTTTTCTCCAGTACCCCAAGCCGCTGCCACAGCTCCCCCAGCAAGTCATCGACACATACCCCGCCGTCTCTCCGCCGCCACTCCCCGAGCTCTGCCCGCTCGACTTCGAGATGCGCTGCTGGGGTTCCTTCAAGCACGACATGGATCGCTGGCTGGACGAGCAGCCGGACGACGAGCAACGCCTGGCTCCGCCACCTTGTCCCGCATCAAACTTCCGCGACGTCCTGAGCTCCATGCTCCATATGTCTGGACAGATCGAAGGCGTCTGCTGCGCGGCTCTGGGATGCTACCCCGACTTCATGAACCGAGATCGTTCTTGTGATTCTGGGCGTAGGATGCGGCTGGTTGGCGTCATGGCCATGGAGATCGATGCTGCGACACTGGAGATTCAAGTTGCGCGGCTATACTCCTATATGCTGCTCACCGATTGCTACTTCGGCCTTGTCTCGTGCTACACCCAGACCTTTGCTTGCAAGAGGCTGCCGGGGTTGGAGAGATGCGTGTGGGTCTCGCCTCCAGTTCTCTCCGACAGTGGCGACGCGCTCAAGGCCTGTGCTTTTGTGGCTTCGCTGAGCCAGAGCTTTTCTCTTGGAGAAACTCCAACTCTCCCAGAGCTCCGAGTTCCAACGTACTGCAACTTCTTCTTTGCGAGCAGCACGGGGCCTCGCCCGTTTGATCGCGCGCCGATCCTTGCAAGGCTCCGGGTGCTGGGGAAGGAGCTGAGTGTCGCAAACATGGACAAGCTCGTCGAGGGGCTTGCATGGCTGGATGAGATCGTGGGGCGAATGGAGCAGCCTTCGTTCTTTTCGCACACTCGGGGAAGGATCACAGCTATGGGGGTGTATAAGGGCGAGTTCGTGCTTGTCAAGTTCCGGGATCTCTCAAACAGCCGGTTCAAGGACACGGACTCGTACCTCCGGAAGTTCTTGCGCGAGGTGGACGTGTATATGAGGCTGCGCGAGTTGCAAGGCGAAGTGATCCCCGAGCTGCTCCAGTATGGATTCATCAGGGGGGCGATGGTGTGCTTTGTGGTCATCACGGACCACGGCCGCGCCGTGAGAATGAAACCATGGGAGCAGCGTTTCTACAATGGTCCCGAGCTGTGGGAGCACAAGAGTAGCATGGTGAAGTCGTGCTTGCGCAGGGTTCATGCTCTCGGGGTGCACTTTGGGGGAGAGCCCCTGTGGCTGAAAAGCGATCGAGGGAGTGAGTATATACTCATTACTATGTCGCATGGTTTTGTGGATGGTGATCGTGCCGGCATGGCCAAGGATATTGAGTTCGTTAACAAGGTATACCCTCAGCCATGAGAGTACTCAGACTGTTTTGCGAGATTTATAAGCTCATAAACTATATGCCGGATCCTAGTCAATTAAAAGTCAAAAAAGTCAAATAAAGTCAATGAAAATTTTAAAAAATCCACCTTTTGGAGTCTTTATCGAGTTTGATATTGATTCGAACGTTTAATAATTATTTCAAATTTAAATATTCAAAAAGAGCGCACTTAGTGATACTTCATCGGCCACGAAAGGCATTGTTGCAGCAAGCTCCATGGCCTCCTCGACACGCCCTGCCCTCGCAAGCACGTCCACGTATCGATTGAAGTGCTCGCGGCTGGCCTGAATGCCCCCATCCCCTTGCATCGACGCCACACACTGCGCCGCCTCCTCCACAAGCCCGGCGTGGGCAAATGCCGCCAACGCACTCAGGTAGCTTGCGCCGCTAGGGCTCCATCCCTCGAGCTCCATCGCTCGCAAAGCGCTCACGCAAAGATCCACCCGGCCATTGCGCGCATATCCCTCGATCATCGCGTTCCAGGAGGTGAGATCGTGGCGAAACTGGAGCCCGGAAAAGAGCCGCTCCGCCGTGTCAAAATGCCCATTCGCGGCACTTGCGACGATCATTGCGTTTGCGGCAGCCGCGTCTCTGTGAGGCATTCGAGAGAAGAAATTCACCGCCTCTTCCCACGACTTACTCTCGCCAAATCCTGCGATCATGGTGTTCCACGACACAATGTTTCTATCTCTCATCTCATCAAACAAATCTTTGGCTTTGTGCATATCTCCCCTCTCGGCTAATGCCGCTAGCATCATATTCCAACACACTGTCGGCGCACGCTCCTTGATCCCCTCGAATATCCTCTCCGCGCCGTACGCGTCGCCATGGCGGAGATATGCTTGGACCAGCGTGGTCTCGGCCACCGCGTCCCGTACGGGCATCTGATTGAACACCCACTGGGCTTGCGCCACGCGTCCGGCTAGAGCATATACCGAGAGCATCGCCTTCCACGCCACGATATTCCACTGGGGCATCCGCGCGTGTGTGTTCCTGGCGGATTCCACGCGGCCGTGGTGAGCGAATGAGGGGATCATCGCCGCCCAGCAAACAAGATCCCGGCACGGCAATGCATCGAAGAGCTCCTTGGCGCGGATCAATCGGCTGGACAGCGCAGTTGCGACGATGACACAGGTCCAGGGCGCGGCTCCCTGCTGCGGCATTCGCTCGATAATCCCCTCCGCTCGATCGATCCTGCCACCGCCCGCCAGCGCCGCGACGATCGCGTTCCAGGCGGCGGGATTTCGCTGCGGCATCGCGTCGAAAATCTCCATGGCCAGCTCCGGCAACGCGCTCTTTGCGACAAGATCCATCATCGCCGTCCAGGAAACAGTGCTGCGCTCCGGCATCGAGTGGAAGATGGCGCTGGCGCGGTCGAAATCCCCGGTGACGGCATAGGCCTGGAAGATCGAGTTCCAGGACACGAGATCCTGCGCGGGCATCCTCAAGAACATATCAGCGGCCGTTTCCATCCGGCCAGCGCTGGCGAATGCCGTGATCATCGTCGTCCAGGAGACGATATTTCGCCCTGGCATCGATAGAAACGCTTGCTCCGCGTGATCGACGCAGCTGCCATGCGAGAAGGCGAGGATCAGAGCGTTCCAAGACGCGACGCTCGGGTCGGGGATCTGATCAAACAGCCACATTGCATTCTCCATTTGCCCTTTCCAGGCAAATGCCGCAAGGAGGGAGTTCCAAGACACCGAGTCTCTCTGGGGCATCTTGTCCAGAAACTCTCTGGCGGTGTCTAAGAAACCTAGCTTCGCGTATGCTGTGATCATAGAGTTCCAGGATACCTCGTTACGGAGCTCCATGGAATCAAAGAGGGATTTGGACCACTGGAGATTCCCGCTTTGGGCATATGACGTTAGGAGAATATTCAATGCCTTTGTGCTGCGCCTATGTCCCAGCATTGGATTTTCATTGAGTGAAAAAGCGTTGAGGATTTCCTTCTCCGTGTGATAGCTCCGCAAAAATCAAACAATGAATTCTTCTCTACCAAAAACCACAGATTTAAATGAGTTTGATTTTTCCGAATAGATTGAAACGAGGAATGCTGCTCGATTTCGGACCTGCCCAGGAGAGAAGAAAAGAAAAACGACGAGAAGCATGTAAGACGCAGAGAAATGCAAAAACCCTGTTGGCGAAAGTTCGATAGTCTCCACAAAAGATCCCTTTTTTCCTCATCGATCATATCTCAAAACCAGCTCTATACCTGGACGAAATCCACAGTCTTTAAGATCGTAGCCTTCCAGTGCGAAGATCATCAGTGTTAAAACTCTAGAAAGCTGGAAATAATTTCTCAGACCTTGCAAGCGAGTGTGCGAGCACTCATCCTCGGTTAAGTAGTTGACAAGAAGCAGGATGCAGTATTAAATCGAGGAGAAAAAACGGAAGATGAAACTATAGTTCTCAGGTTCCGACTTCTGCAAGAAACTGATGAATCAAAACTAATAGAGAGAATTACTAGTTTACAGTTCGGAAAAAATACGCCATCGTCCTCTAGCACGAAAAAAAGAAAACTTTGAGATTACCTCACCTTTCAAAGAAATTCCTCTAGGAGCACTACGAGGACAAACTAAATGCCGTTGATTTTATAGTGCTCATAGAGGAAATCCTTTGGAAGACCTAGCGTGGTTACTTTAATGACATTTAATTAGAGTTGGAGAATTAACTTTATGGCTCTGGGGCAAGAAGATCACAGTTGTCTGGGTCTCTTTGAGCTTCACAATAGGCCTACGAAGAGAGGGAAATAAAAGACGCCAGTCATTCTCAATCCAGACAGAAGCTCCAGCAGGCAAGCTTCTTCTTGGGAACTCACTGGAAACTTTCAAGGAATCTGCAATGAGCTTGCAATCCCTTGGTCACTGGTTCTGGACCTGGAAGAATCCCCACTCCTCGCATATCCTCTTTCGTTGGAGCTCCAAGACCTCGGGAGCCTAGCAAGATCGATCAGTGGACTTCCAGCATCACAAACCATTTCTTCCAGTTCCAGGCAAAGAGATTAGAGATAGAGAGAGGAAAAGCTTGTGAAAGAACTACACGAAGCAAAGGTATGGTGGTCGCGAGCTCTAAATTGACTTGATCAAGAGAGAAAGAGATAAAGAAAGTATGCATATAGATTGTTCATTGGAAGAAATACATTTAGTAACTTTGATCCACATTATGCAGTTGATATAAATATTACTCAAATTTATGACTTAAAAGTTTGTAACTATAATTAATAACCAACATTTTAGTCATTACATAAAAGTTATAAATTGCAACTCTAACTAGTAACATATATGAAATTATCTAGTTTTAAAGTATATATTGTTAAACTGCAATTATATATATATATATATATATATATATATATATATATATATTTGTAAAGATTAACTCTATTTTTCAACTAAATTTTGTATAAATATACAAGTTATCACAAATTACAACATAAACTAAAGCCAATTTTCTAAGTTTATAGCAAGTAATTAAAATTTACAATTAAATTTAAAAAACACAAATAATTTATTAAAAAAATCATTATAATACTTTGTTTAGTAACAAATGGACAGAATTTTTGTAATTTTGTATAAATTACTAATAGCAATATGAAATCAGAGGAAATCACCATCAAATTCTACACAATATAAAAAGAATAAAATAAAATAAAAGTAAGAAAGCATTTTCTATAGAATCTCTATTGTTAGTGGTGAGAAGAGTTCCTCTCACTGGAGGATCAATGATTCTCCCACCACTTTATTTTGAGGCACTAAATAAGAACACTACAATGGAGATGGACTTATCTGGAAAGCGCTACAGGATCTGTTTAATTTTTTATGCATACGGATTATGGATTAAAGTGTGCATACTTTCTTTTCTCCTCTCTCTCTCTCTCGATCGAGTCGATTTATAGCTCACGACCACCATAGCTTTGCTTCGTGTAGTTTTTTCGCAAGCTTTTCTCTCTCTCTCTCTCCCTCTCTCTCTCATGTCTTTGCCTGGAACTGGAAGAAATGGTTTGCGATGCTGGATCGATCTCGCTCCATTTTTCAGGCCGAGGCTCCTGAGGTCTTGGAGCTCCGACAGAGGATAGGAGAGATTGCAAAGGACCACGAGGAGTGGGGATTCTTCCAGATCCAGAGCCAGTGACCAAGGCCTGGATTGCAAGCTCATTGCCGATTCCTTAAAAGTTTCCAACGAGTTTTTCCATCTTCGGCTGGAGGAGAAGAAGAAGCTCTCTCTGCCGGCTGGAGCTTCTGTCTAGATTGAGAATGACTGGTGTCTTTTTTTTTCCCTCTTCATAGGCCTTTTATGGTTGTCTGGGTCTCTGTGAGCTTGACAAAAGTTTTGACAAGCTCAAAGAGACCCAGACAACCACAATCTTCTTGCTGAATCTCATCTCCCAGAGCCTGGGCCTTCCAAAGGATTTCCTCTACCAGTTCTAGGAGGACAAACTCAACGGCGTTGAGTTTGTCCTCGTAGTGCTCGTAGAGGAAGTTCTTTGGAAGGTGAAGTAATCTCACAAAGTTTTCTCTTTTTTCGGGCTAGAGGACAATGGTATATGTTTCCAAACTGTAAAGTACTAATTCTATCTATATGCTTGCTTCAACTTAATTTTGATTCATCAGTTTCTTGCAGAAGTCGGAACCTGAGAACTATAATTTTCATCTTGACACGGTGTTTGCTGGATAGGAAGCTCCTTCCCTTTTTCACCTCGATCCAATACTGCGTCGCGCTTCTTGTCAAGTCAACTACTTAACCGAGGATGAGTGCCTGCCAAGGCTCGCACGCTTGCAAGGTCTGGAAATTTATTTCCAGCTTTCTAAAGTTTAATACAGGTGATCTTCGCACTGGCAGGCTACGATCTTAAAGACAGTGTGGATTTCGTCCAGGTATAGAGCTGGTTTTGAGATATGATCGATGAGGAAGAGAGGGTTCTTTTCTGGAGACTATCGAACTAACAAGATTTTAGCATTTCTTTGCGTCTTACATGCTTCTCGTCGTTTTTCTCTTGGGCAGGTCCGAAATCGAGCAGTTCCTCGTTTCAGTCTATCATTTAAATCTGTGGTTTTTGGTAGAGAAGAATTCATTGTTTGATTTTTGCGGAGCACGCGGAGAAGAAAATCCTCAAAGTTTTCCCATTCAATGAAAATCCTGGAACAAAGGTGCAGCACAAATTGAATATTCTCCTAACGTCATATGCCCAAAGGTTCAGTGGTCCAAATCCCTCTTTGAATCCATGGAGCTGCTTAAGCGGCTGCGTCGATCACGCGGAGCAAGCGTTTCTATCGATGCCAGGGCGAATATCGTCTCCTGGACGACGATGATCACGGCATTCGCTAGCGCTGGCCGGATGGAAACGGCCGCTGATTTTTTCTTGAGGATGCCCGTGTCGTGGAACTCGCTCTTCCAGGCCTATGCCCGCGCCAGCGCCGTCTTGCACTGGATGCCGGAGCGCAGTACTGTCTCCTGGACGGCGATGATGGATCTTGTCGCAAAGACCGCAATGCCGGAGCTGATTTTCGACGCGATGCCGCAGCAAAATCCCACCGCCTGGAACGCGATCGAGGCGGCGCTAGCGGGCGGTGGCAGGATTGATCGAGCGGAGGGGATTATCGAGAGAATGCCGCAGCAAGGAGCCGCGCCATGGACCTGTGTCATCGTAGCAACCACTGTCCGGCCGATTGATCCGCGCCAAGGAGCTCTTCGATGCATTGCCGTGCCGGGATCTTGTTTGCTGGGCGGTGATGATCTCCTCATTCGCTCACCACGGCCGCCTGGAATCCTTCAAGAACACACGCGCGGATGCCCCAGTGGAATCTCGGCGTGGAAGCCTATGTAAGGTGACGCTAGTAACAACGGCCTAGTGACGCTAGTAACAATGCCCGAGTGCTGACGTGGGCGTGCGGAGGAGGAGAAAAGCGATAGGCGTTAAGTGTGAACACATGAAGTGTTTTATAGTGTGTTCTTGTGCTTTAGAAATTAATCTCTCTTGGTTTCTTTGCTTGTGTCCGTGAATGGAGAGTCGGACCACTACAGCGATGCTCTTAGCATATACTCTAGCCGGACGCGTGGCGCAAGCCCAGTGGTTGTTCAATCAGCTGACCAACCGTATTTCCGCCATGGCGACGCGTACGGCGCGGAGAGGATGATTTGGCGAGAGTAAGCCGCGAAAAGAGGCGGTAAATGTCTTCTCTCGAATGCCTCACAGAGACGCGGCGCTGCCGCAAACGCAATGATCGTCGCAAGCGCCGCGAATGGGCATTTGGACATGGCGGAGCGGCTCTTTCCTGGGCTCCAATTTCGCCACGATCTCACTCCTGGAACGCGATGATGAGCGAGGGATATGCTCGCAATGGCCGGGTTGCAAACGATGGAGCTGCGATGGAGCCCTAGGGCTTTCCCTCTGTTAACTTTATGTTGTACATTTAAATCACCTCAACTTATGCATATAGATTGTTATTTGATCAAAGACCTTGATCCACAATCCATATGCATAGAAAATTAAACAGATCTTGTAGCGCTCTCCAGATGAGTCCATCTCCATTGCAGTGTTCTTATTTAGTGCCTCCGATCAAAGTGGTGGGACAATCTTTGATAGAAAGATCTCACCACTGCTAAAGTTCAGTAAAACTCAATCTATGTTATGCTCTAGTCAAAAGTTGAATAGTTCCAAGCTCAAGCATAGCCGTCAACTTTTTCTTATGTCATGTTAGATTTAGAACATTGCCCAGCTTCCGTCAACTTTTCGTAAACTTAGTAAGCAATAGGAAAACGCTTTCTTACTTTTTTTTGTTCTTGTCTTTTATATTGCGTAGTATTTGATGGTGATTTCCTCTGAGTTGGGACCTCCAACCTTCTTGTTCTCGAATCTGACCATAATGTATTCGCCGTATCGAAACTCTTGGTGCTTGTTGACACTTACAGTGAGCTGCGGGAGTGGGCATACTTGAGTGGTGACTCTGGGAACGCACGAAAAAGAAAAAGAGCAGCGAGTTCCATCACGTAATGTAAGACAGTCTTCTAGCGACCGTTGCTCCACACCTGTGAAACTCTAATCCAGAAAGTCGAACAAAGAACAATCGAAGAACACCAGGAACTTTCGAACTTGCTGAACGAATAGGCATCTAAAGCAAGAAGTAAGAACTTATATCCGTCACAAAGAGAACATTCAAGAGCATCAAGAACACCAATCGATCGAAGAAGAATTTCGAGCTTGTGCTGAAAGAACAGGCATAGGAACGAATGGGACGAGTATATCAGAACCATGAAAACAGATTTTACCAGGACTATATCACCAACGTTGACAACAAGGCAGTTTGGTCAAGGCCGGATGATGATCCACTTATCATCCTTGAGGATTTGGAGGCCTTCTACCTCGCTTTGTGCAACAACGCGGAGGATGTTCCCGTCCTGGTGCTTGGACAGGCCGATCTCGTCGGTGGAGTGAGACGGGGGATACTGGATCATTATCAAAGACCCGGCCGAATCACTTTGCCGC